GGAGGAACTTACGGCATGAGCGAAACCACGGGGTCCGTCTGCACACTTCCTCCGGGAATGACTGATGACACTGGCAGCGTTGGGGTCATGCATGCGAACACAATGTTCAGGCTTGTCGATGACGACGGCAATGACGTCCCCGAGGGCGAACCTGGCGAGCTCTGGGTCAAGGGCCCGATGGTGACAAAGGGCTACTACAAAAACCCCGAATCCACCAAAGCGGCCTTTGTCGACGGCTGGTACTGCTCCGGAGACATCCTGCAGCAACGGAGCAACGGCCTGTGGTACGTGACGGACAGGAAGAAGGAGTTGATCAAGTACAAGGGCATTCAGGTGGCGCCAGCCGAGCTCGAAGGTCTCTTGCTCTCACACCCCTTGATCGAGGACGCGGCGGTGATCGGCGTGCCAGGCGAAGGGACAGAGGTCCCTCGTGCCTACGTCGTGGCCGATAAGAACAAGATCTCCGAGGCAGAGATCAAGGAGTTTGTCAAGAGCAAAACCGCACCGTACAAGCAGCTGCGAGGTGGTGTGGTCTATCTCGATCAGCTTCCCCGAAGCGCAGTCGGTAAGATTCTGCGGAAGGATCTGAGAGACATGGCGAAGACGGAGTTTCGTGCTAAGCTATAGAGGGCATTTATACCCTGACGGCCATCTGCTTTGGCGAATACAGGCTCTTTTGGCACCTATACAGCGTCACAGGGGCAAAAGTGGAAGTCCTTGTAGATAGTTGCGAGCAGAAGTTCAACAAGCCCAGTCCAATGTCACGACGCAACGTTATCAGAATCTCGCTTCTCTTTTTCTTGTAATCTCTCCTGAGGTAGTGCTGGTAGGCGTAGAGGAGGCTGAGCAGGCAACGTGGTCAGTGCGAAGGCTGAAGGTTTCGCGGGTGGACATCGTGGCGGTGGAAGGGTCGTCAATCCGTGGTGTGATAGACGCTTCTCTCCGCTAGAGCAGGAGGTCAACTTCAAAGCACACGTGCAGTCTCATGTAGGCAGCCGGACAAACGATTGTGCCTGTCAACACTGATGGCAGTGGTCGTCTTTGTGCTTTTTGGTTCATACTCCACATCATCGGCTAAGAAATCCGACGTGCGGTCCACTGCATCCCCTGGAATGTGCAAACATTCATCCGTGCCATCGTCTTCTGTAGATTCATGTCGCAGCCACACATAGTGAGCTGGTTTCTTCCCGTATGAGGTGAGCCATTGGCATGTAGATGTGACACTGAGTATACACTGAGTATGCAGCGAGAGAGTCCAGACGACAGGAGGCTCTACTTCGTCCCGAACAATGCCAGTGCCTTACATCATATCTTTGTATGCCAACAATTCAAGCGCCCAAGTGTCTGAGAAACGTGCGGATGGGTATATGCCTAGCCTGTGGGTACATCTCAGCCTGCGTACATGCATTAAAGAGACAAGGACTGATTGATATGGAACAGACCTGCATGCTTCATCCGTGGCCTGAAGCATATAGCAAGCTCTCTTGCGGATTGAACAATCTTCCGCCTCAGGAGGAGTCGCGAAACATGGCAAACTGCAGGCCGGTAACTGTGAGTGCTTGCACATCATTTTAACCGCGCCATAGAGCCCCTCAGAACAGGATCGCGGGCTGTCACAGTCGTCTGGTACTCCGTCGACTCGCGAAGAAACGTCCTCCTTCCTGTCGCAACTCGACTCACCTTGGCATTTCTGCGCCGTCCACCTTCTTCCACTTCCATAAATCACCATTTCTCCCGCTCTCTCATCCATCTCTGATCCCATCTTTCTTTCATCCTTCTCTCACAAGTTTTCTGCGTCACCCACTCCACAATCTGCCTTTGTCAATACGTCAATCATCCTATTGTTATTGTCATCATGAGCGGTTGGGGTGTTGCTGATGCCCAAGGGGCTTCAGGTAAGTCCCTCATTCCTTCTTCTCACTCTCTTGTTCCTCATCGTGGTGCCCACACTCCCTATCCAAGCCCTGGAACACTCGGAAGCAACATGTACAAGTTTCGGAAGAGGATCTTACGAGCAACGAAACCCTGCTACAAGTACCCAGACCTGTGGATGATAGAAGAAGTCCCCTCCTCATGTTCGCATCCTTCTGCCAATTTCCAAGGACGTTTGCTAACTATGAAAGTCGATTCAGGTTGGAACGATGATGGCGCCGTCGCTATGCCTCCCAGCTTTGACGATGCCTTTGGATCTGCCACGAACGGCGACGGCATGAACGGCGATGATGAACGCAAGATGGGGGCCTGCTTCAACTGTGTAAGTGAATCCTAGACTTGGTTTACACTCACTAACATTTCGCAGGGAGAAGAAGGTCATGTACGTGTACCCATTCCTATCGCTGACTCCGCTTACCATGTGTTCAGTCCAAGGCTGCCTGCCCTCACCCGCGCCAATTCAAAGGGGAATGTCGCAACTGCGGTCAAGAGGGCCACATGGGTGCCGACTGCCCTTCACGGGTCATCAAATGTAAGAATTGTCAACAGGAGGGTCACGAAGCATTGAAGTGCACCAACCCAAAATTTGTCGACAACACCCGTGTCGCCGATAAGACCGAGGGCGAGGCTTGGGCCCTGCTCAAGGAAGCCAGTGATGACCGAGACATTGTTGACTTCAAGGAGGCTCTTCAAATTCTCTCCAAGGCCGCTCCAGGATACACCTACCCTATGCTCGAGAAGGAGTTTCGCAAGCGTGGTTTCAACATCTACTTGATTGCCATGGTATGTTGGTGTTCTGAAAGGTCGCAACCAATGTGCTGACCACTCGTGCAGGAGAAGGATCTTGGTGACACTTGGACAAATGTCAACCTGCAGGGCGAAATTGAGAAGAAATATGCCATCAGCTATTTTACTTCCGACAAGCCGCAGCGCCCGACACTTCTCGACAAATGGCCTTCGTCTCCAGAGGACAACCTCGCTCGTCTCGCTGATGCCGGGATTCCCCTCGACCGTGGCGTGGACAAGTGCAACAATTGTGGGAAGATCGGTCATATCAGCAAGCGTTGTCCTGAAGAAAGAATTGCGAGCGTTCAGCCCACTGTGACCTGCTACTTGTGTGGTGAGGAGGGTCATCGTGTTCGTGACTGCGGCCAGGAGCGTAAACATGGCACCCGTGCCTGCAAGATCTGCGAGTCTGAGGAGCATTTGGCCAAGGTACGTCTGTCTTTGGTCACATGGTGTTCGATACTAACATGATGCCGTAGGACTGCCCAAACAAGGAGCAGCGAACCTGCCGCAACTGTGGTGAAGAGGACCATATGGCCAAGGATTGCCCGACTCGGGAGAAGAGAACTTGTCGCAACTGTGGCGATGAAGATCATCTGGCCCGCGACTGTCCTCAGCCGCGAAAGATGACTTGCAACATTTGCAGCGAGGAAGGCCATATGGCTCGTGTAAGTCTTTCATCTCTTGTAGGCACATTTCTTTAACATTGGCGGCAGGAATGTCCCAAGAGAGGAGAAGCCGGTCCACGCCCCCGAACCGACTGGACTAAGGTTACTTGCACCATCTGGTAAGTAGGTTCCCAAGCCTACTGGAATCTCATTTTGTAACTCGGCCACAACAGCAACGAGAAAGGTCATGGCCGTGCGCGCTGCCCTCAGGATCAAGCAGGACTGACCGAACGATCGAATGATGGGAAAGCAAAGGGTGCAGCTGATGTTGGTGCAGGCTGGGACAGTGCTCCAGCGTCGGATTCTGCTGCTGGAGGCTGGGACGGCGCTCAGAATGGTGATTCCGCTTGGGGTGGCGTTCCCAATGCCGCTGGAGGAGCTGCGTGGTAGAAGTGTGACTGATTCAGAGATGCGGACGACGCTTCAGCCTGCATCATCTGGACGAATAGAGGTCCAAGCGCCACACAACTCTACGAGAAGATGAACGGATAGTCCAAGGGAAAAAAGAAGAAAAGAAGAGACTTCAGAACTGCCAATGGGGTTGAGATGCTCTGGGCAACACCTCCAGGCACGAATTGGCGGGGAGAAACGAGTTGAGAACCTTGAGACAAGCATTGAGTGACAACGAATGGTCGATGAGAGACATGGCCTGCCAGTATCTTTCTATTGGCACACGCACTCTTTCAAAGAATTCTTCCCGCAGCTTTCGTGACGTGCTTGATGTTGAACATCAGCCCATATTGCCGACTTGATATGTAAGCTCCTGAAGCTCTCGGGGACAATACGCGCTCTGTTGATCGTCCAACCCTTCGAACCATGCAGTAGCTGGTCACGCTCCTCGCCGTGACGGAGACTTTTGACGAGTTTATCCAACCTTGGAAGCCTCGAGTCGTATGAACTTTTGTCCGTCCCTCCGTCGCTTGGTCCATGACCCTTCGCGGGTTTGTCAGCCTCGCCGAGTCCGGGCCTATCAAGCCTCTACCAAGCCACGGCCCACGGCATACATCGGTGTTTTTATTCTTCTGCTCCCCCCTCCCCTCCTCTTTCCCAAGCACGCACTCACGCAAGCACGCACGCAATCCACGCGCAGAGGGGGGGGTTTGATTTACAATCCCTCTTCTGAGTTGTGCTCCCAATGGAGGGGGAGCATAAGCGGAGTTTGTGTTTGTGGTCTTGGTGGCCCCGAGTTAGAACGTGGTTTGTTTTTTTACCGGGAAAGGGAGCGGGGAGGGGAGGGGTCTTGACTTTGACTTTGACCCTTGCATTGCGTGCAGGCAGGATGGTGCAGTATGCATGGCCTGTTGGCTGGCAACCTTGTCAAAGAGGGGTTGGGATTGATTGGGTACCTACCTGCCTACCTTCTTGGTAGGTATATAAGGGGACAAAAGGATCCTCAGGAGAGCGGATGAAGAGGGGGGAAGAGAGACGAGAGTCTACAGGCGTCTTGAAGGGAAGTAAGTCGCTGCCTTCCCTCACAGTAGCTATCTATCTATTTGTCTATCCATCTCTCGTACCGTCCGAGTACCTCAATCAAAAGCCAGTACATACAAGTCCAACACCTCCCTCCCCGTGTCCCCCATCTTCTCTCATCGAGCTTGATAATACACCAGAACAATGGCGCCCAAAATCGCCCTCATCATCGGCGCCGGCCCAAACATCGGCGCCGCCCTGGCCACGGCCTTTGCCGCAAAGGGGTACAAGGTCGCCAGCGCGTCTCGCACGCCGCACGTCTCCAGCGGCACGCTACACATCCCCGTCGACCTGAGCAAGCCCGAGACGGTGCCGGGGGTGTTTGAGACGGCGAGGAAGGAGTTGGGCGGCGAGGTCGGGGTCGTGGTGTATAATGGTACGTTTTACACCGGTGTGGTTTCTGTTCTTGCCACCGTCCCCGGTCTTTGTGTTTTGTATGCTCTTGGCTTTTTGTCCTGGTGGTTTTTGTCCTCGAGATTTCGTTGTCGGGTTTTGGTGTGTATGAATCGAGTGGCAGAGTTTGAGTGGCGGATGCGCGAAAGGGGGGCTTGCGCCTTGTCAGGAGTGTTTTGTGAGAGAACACTCAGGGAAGTGGTTTGGTCGTCAGGCTGGCTCTCCCAGCGAGGGAGACAGGGGGCAGACACTTCATGACCACCAAGGGGAACTGTGATGTGCTTTTTGGCGACATTGGAAAGGAGTGACACGATGGTTTTGTGGTCTGCGTGGCTTGCTTGTTTCCAAGACCGCGAGCTGGACGTGGTAGACAGCCTTGCCCTCTCACTTTCTTTCTCTCCCCCTCTTTTTACACACACCTCCCTCTGCCCTCCCTCGAGATCATCTCCCCTTACAATTCGACATTGATCCAATCCCTCACACGTCCAGCCGCCTTCTTCCGTCCCGACCCCGCGGATCCGCTCTCTCAATACGCGCCAGAGTCGATCCAGGTCTACCACGACTCGCAGTCCGTCAACGCAACCTCGGCGCTCGTCTCACTGCACGAATCCGTCAAGGCGTTCCGCAACCTCCCCGCCGGCGGCGATGCGTCCAAGACGTTCATCTTCACGGGCAACATGCTCAACGTCAAGACGTTGAAGAACATGTTGAACTTCGGGCTGGGCAAGACCGTCACGGCGTACGCGATCCGGCATCTGGTTGAGCAAAAGGTCTACACTGACGAGGGGATCAAGTGAGTACAACCGACCAAAAAAAACCCCCATCAAAAACTAACCACCATTCTCCTTTTCAGGTTCTACTACGCCGACGAACGAAACGCCGAAGGCCTCCCGGTCGGCAATGCCGTCTCCGGCGAAGCTGCGGCAGACGAGTACGTCAAGTTGGCCGAGCGATCGGACCAGGGCCCGTGGCTGTACACGTTTGTCAAGGGGACCGGGTACAAGGACTTTGAGAAGGCGAGTCATTTGTAGGTAACCAGGGGACTAACGAAAAGAGATGATCTCGGAGAGTTTAAGATTGGGTATGACCTGCCGCCAGACGAGAGAAGAAGAAGGAGAGAGAGAGAGAGAGAGGGAGGGAGGGAGGCCCGCGAAAGAACAGGGGGAAGTGAGGCAAGGAGAACAAGTACCACGAGCATGAACTTATGCCGCCATGTCATATCACGGCAAGAAAACATAATGAAACTGAACAATAATGTGGGAGTCTACCGTACTACGTACTATACTACCCCACGAGTACGTGTGTACGGGTACGACTTCTGTCCTCCCATCATCCCTAACAACTTGCCCAGCTACCTTGGCCAGACCTCTCAAGAATCAACAACTCGAGTCAACTCGAGACAAACCTGGAACCACCTCACTATCTCCTCCGAGGCCCTCTCTCCTCTTCTTCAGGGGCATAGTGCTGATTGAATGACCAGTATTCATTTCATTTCATTCGGGTATCTAGATATCAATCCTATCATTGGCCATCACATCACACCACATTCATATCATATCATGTCAAGTCATATCAAATCATATCAAATAATAGCGTAGTAAAAATGAGTTTAGAACTTCGACCGCGAACATCCTGAACATCCTGAACGTCCTGGGGCAATCGTGACTCGTGACGTGACGCGAATAGAAAGAAAGAAAGAGGGTAAAAGGGTAAGGATGAAGGGTGAAGGAGGTGAAGGAGGTAAAAGGGGGAGGGGATATAGCAGAGCAGACCAGCGCAGACCATCCAAGCAACCATCCAACAACCACACAACCACACAACCGCAAAGGGGCCAAAGGGGGGGCGCCACAGAAACTTCGGACGAAAAGAGAGAGAGAGAGAGAGATCATGGATGGACATGAATGATGAGTCTCCCCTTCCATCCCTTTCCTTTCCTTCCTTTGCCTTGCCTTGACTTGTATTTGCCTGCCCTGCCCTACCCTGCAAAACACACGTAAAGTGAAGTCGGCCTCAAAAATACCAAGGGGCAAAAATCATAAGTCAAAGGCTCGTCACGGTCGTGTATCTAATCCATCCTCTGATAAAAAAAAAAAAATAAAAAAAAAAAGAAACAAGCAGATTGTTGATCAACGGCCAAACAACCCAGAATCGATCCAATCGAGATCAGAGATCAAAGAGCATAGAGCATAGAGCATAGAGCATAGATGAAGAGCTTCACATGTGTGGGCGCGCGCGCGCGTGTGTGTGTGTTAGCTGGAGTCAGAGTCCTCGTCCACCATGTGCGCCTGCCACCCCCTTTTCGCCATACAAGTATATGATTGATTCACTCTTGCATGGACTGGAAATGGGAGCCGTCGAGAGAGTCGCCTCGATAGCGTGATATGGGCTGAGTGGGCAGGTTCTCATACGTTTGGGGCATGGACGAGGGACTGTAGAAGGAATCCATCCTCGAGGTGGCGGCGTAGAGAGGACTTATCATGCTGCCTGTGGTGTAGCCCTGATGTTGCTGTTGCGGTTGCTGTTGATGATGATGTTGATGATGCTGTTGATGTTGCTGCTGATGTTGCCGATGGCGCGTGGTATATGTCGTGGCGTCTGGCATCATTTGCGAGGTTGTAAATCCCGGTTGGAAACCGAGTCCGTGAAGATGAGGCTGAGCTGCCCCAGCCGATGTGGGAGGCTGCATATTGCCTTGTCTTATAGCGATGGGATGTTCCTGCTTGGCCTTACTCTTGCGCTTCTGGACGGCGTTCTTGAACCTCTTCGTCCTTTTGGGGAGATAGTCGTCACATGCCGGGAAGATGTCGTCGCCCTCTTCGTCAGACGACTGTACCGGCTCTTGTTTGATGCCGTGGTCAATGGATTCTGCAAACCCCTGTTTTCCAGACCCAAAGTAAAAAATGTCCTCGCCGTGGTCCGGCGGAGTGAGACCTTCAGACGAGCTGTTGAACCCGTTGCTCTCCTCGCTCGCCTGTTTCTCACCTCGCTTGGCCTTGGTGTTGGCAACCTGTCTCTTTGCAATCTTTTCCATGTGGAATCCTCGGAGGTGTTCCGTCAGATGGTCCCGTCTGGTAAAGCCTTGGCTGCCCTTTCTCTCACAGTTTTTCTTGGGACAGTCAATATACTTGATGTCGTGGCGAGACTTGTAGTGTCTGGTGACATCTGCCTTGCGGCTGAAGAACTTTTTGGGACTCCCGTCTTCGCCCAAACAGTCCTCATGTGGACAGAACGTCCGATTATCTGCATGAGCCCTGTGGAAAGGTTAGAAGTGTCAACAGAATGTCAGGGGCTGACATGGTCCACAGTTGTACTGTGAGCCGAAACCCAGAGTCCGGCGAACGAGCCACTTCAGTGGTATGAATGACCCAATACTTACTTGCTGCTGGGGCACACGACTCCGTCCCCTTCTTGTTTGGGCACAACCTCTTTCTTCTCCCGAATTAGTGGTGATCTACTCTGAGAGGGCATTGTGGGCCTGCCAATGTGATTGACCTGGCTGCCATCTGACAATCGATACTCGCTGCAAGACTCGACGAAAGCGTAGGGTGACCTGGGCGTTGCATCCTGGCTTGCAACACTGTAGTCCGCACTGACGGTGCTTGCTCCGCTGTAGCTTCGACACCTTGCACTAGTCGAGTTTCCAGTGATGGCATACGCTTCTTCAGAGTGGTATCCATGGATTGGGGGAGCGAGTATGTAACTTGTCTGAGGCGCTATCGTGCGTGGAGTACAGTAGCTGTTGCTGTATGTTGGACTTCCCAGCTGACATGACATGGTAGTTGGCAAACTGATTGAGAGACCGGAGGAAGCCTCCGGCACACTCATCGAGAGAGCGTGTTGAGCGAAATATGCATCCGGCCCGTAATCGTCCCTCAAAAAATCTCGATGGTCGTAGCTGCCCATGATTTTTCACGCTTTTCCCAAGCACAGAGAACAATTGAGTATCCAGATTTTGATCAGACGAGAAGGATTTTCAGCAACCCAACCCAGAAACAAAAAAAAAAAGGAACAGGCGGCTGTTAATGTGGTGGACGCAAATAGCTTGGGCTTCAACTTTCAGCCTTATGCTGGTATTCCGACCCCCAGAACCTCAGATAGCCAGGGAGGAGAGACTCGCTCAAGTATTTGCCAGCTAACGTGCTTTCGGAGACAAGGCAAACTTGAGCTATGCTGCGAAGGGAGGCTGTACCGGATAGTTAACGACATTGGGACACAAGAGAGGATTCGACAGGACTAGGAACCTGACTCGGGCCATCCTGGGAACCGATGGCTTGCTGGAGTCATCAGGCCGATTGGGCCATCCGGAGGGAACCACTCGACAGAGGACAATGCAGGACCCTAGCGCCGAAGTGTACTCCCGTGTGGAAGACAGAATGCGCTCGATTGTAAGCCACCTGACGCTCTTGTACAAGCCTAGCGGTCTGAAGCGATCAGGTCGCTGTATCGATGGGACTTCCAAGCAGAACGGACAAGATGGAAGCCCAGGGCTAATGTCACAAGTGGGTTTCGTCTGGCGCGGCGTCCAATCAGTCGCGGCCTGTTCAGAATGTGAGGCTAACTTCTAAGGCTCATCCCCCTCGAAGAAGCATTCCTCACCCGTGTGTTGCGAGAAAGACGGCCATTCGCTCATTCGCCCATTCGCTCGCTCGAGGTGGACTCCCGACCCCTGTCGAGATTTGGACCTGCAGTTTGCTGCTATCGTCTGTGAAGCATTCACGCGTCATCGGGCAGACGGGGGGTTCGAGGGTAACACTGCCTCGATATTTGAATTCCTCGACCCCGAACCCAGTTGGGAAGGTGAACTGCCAGATCGACGAGACGCAGCGGTGGCATGATTAAGCGAGGGGGTTTGAAAGACAAGGTTACCACGACATGACAAGTGCCATGGGCTCCAACCCGGGTACCCAGACTTGGGTACAAGACCCAGGTACGAGTCCTGGTAACTCGACGCGTTTCTCTCTGGGTCCGCCCTGGCGAGGCACGGAACGGCTTTTCGGGACGTTTCAGGTTTGAACGGTTGTGGGCAGAAACGCGCACACGCACGCGGGCAGTGTTCGTCAGAGATCTGCTCCGGATCACTGAAGCAACTTGAAGCCTCATGGTTGCCTTTCCGCGGACCAAAGCGGCTCTGTACCTTGGTCAATAGCGTATAGGATGTGGACTAGAACGTGTGGGGCAAGGAGGCTGAGGTAGTATATACCAGCATCCTATTGGTGGAAGGGTGGGAGCATTGCGGATACTAACGCAAAGAAGCTAGCGTGGATGCCTTTTAATCACAGCCCCAGTCAGTCGAGACGAGCCTCATTGTTTGTCTCTCGATCCATCCGCGGCGAGGCAATTCCTTGTAACACCAAAAGTGAGGCGGTGGTAAGAGCTAGGCTGCCGTCTGCCACATGGGCAAACAATCGAAACACGACTAGCACACATTCCCACAGTGCGCCCTGAGCGGAGCCTCCCCCCCCTCAGTCCCAAGCGAGGCAAGGCCGAGCCCCGTGTGCTGGGCGTGGCACACAAAAAAGCATATAATGTCAAGAACAAGGGTTGGGAAGTTGCAGAATTCGAGCTTTGTTGACTCTTTGAGAGGTAATCACAAAACCTCTGCCCCAAACTGGGCAAGTTGTTATGCATGCAGCGGGCCGACGGGCAGCACTCCGCTGATTGAACTATCCTACAGATCGTCTTCAAGGAACTTGTAGACAAACTTGAAGTCCGCTTTCCGACGATTCATCCTGCAAACTTGTTAGAACGGAAAGGCGGTCAGGGGATGATGGGGTTTGCTATCATGCGTACCATGTACTTTCATAGTCGAAGAAGCGGTATGTGCCTTGCTCATACTCCTCGGTGATTTGTTTGGGCTCTTCGTGACGTTGGAACCACGTTTGATACTGCTTGTGGAACCGCCAACTCTGGTTCTTGAGAGCACGCGCTGCCAGCCACTGTTGGTAGGTATTCTGCCGATAGTAGAATATGTAAAACAGGGTGTCTGTCTCCAGCCTCTGGTTTTCGTACAAGGCCGGATCGTCAAAGATAGGGAGGACATCCTGAGGATAGTGCGCTGGTGTGTTGTACTTGAACGTTGGCCGGTAGTATTGGGGGCGATCGCTGTCGGAAGGTTCCGGACAAGTCTCTTGAGACGCCTGCAGCAGCCTGGCTAGTTGTGATGGAGGCTGAGCAGCTCGACTTTTGGTCGTCTCGAATGAGTCTAGCAGATCTTGAAGCCCAGGAGGCAAATGATAGATCGACTCCACCCCGGCTGGGTCTTCGTGCACATCACCATTTGTGGCTGGTAGCTCGTCTGCTATCACAGGCTCTTGGACAGCCTCTGATTTCTCCATAGCTGGCGTCGGAGGGACGCTGCTTGGTACGCTTGGTGCCCGGGCGCTAGTGGAGCTCAAAGTCGGAGACTTGGAATGATTGGATTGCTCTTGCGACGTTGAACCGTCCATACTGACCGTGGCAGGCGCTGGCGAGGCAGTCTTCTCCACCGGTTGTGCTGGCATTGAGGCTGGCGAGTTCGTTGCTGATGTTTTGACTGGGGCAGGCAACGGGTGTGATGTAGGTGCGGCGTTTGCTCCAACTGGTGGAGGAAGAGGAGCAATACCCACTCCACTTTTGTCGCTTGCAGCAGCTGCGGCCGCTGCTGAGGCATACTTCAAAGTCTCTCCTGGGGGCCGATTCGGAATTGGTGCCGGTTTCATTGTCGAGTCTTTGGGTATTGACGGTGGCGGTGGCATGGTATTCAGAGTAGCCAGTGCTGGCAGAGGTGACTTGAGCTGCGTCGAAGGTCGTCGTGTGGCAGTGTGCGTTTCTGATTTCGTTTTCTTGAGTACAGTCGTATCCACCTCGACGTCTTCTTGTATGGACTGCGCATCTTGAGACGATATTCTGTCCAAATCGTTGTTCAGTCCAAACTGCGCCTCTTCGCTGTCCAGATTGCAATCGTCATAGATGCCTTCGTAGGCTTCCGGATCAAAATCCGGGTCTCGCACTTCCCTTACCACCTCTTCAATGTCGGATTTGATAGATGCCACTAGGTCATTTTCGACGTTGCCGTTCTGTAGCGATCGTAGGAGAAGCTGTAGCCGTGATTCATGCCATTTGTAGGTGTCGGTCATGGTTTCGATCTCCGCAAGTCGATCAGCCTTGGAGTTGTCCTTCTGCTTTTTTTTGAGAGCGGCTTGTAGGGTGCCAGCTTCGGGTTCCAACTCCTCCGTCAGGATTCTGTTGATCTCATCCAGTTGATCGGACAGGAAGTCGCAGAGTTCTTCTCGTTCCTTCTCCTTGGGATCTTGCTTGATGTTCTGCGATAACCCTTCCTTTGAGAACGCCTTTGTTTTCATCTCCTTCTCCACCGCTTTGAATATTTCCATACACTATGTCTGCGTCAGTCCACGCCCCAAGAGCGTCGTTTCCACGGAAAGCCTCACTTTTTCTATCCGCTTGCGCTGTTCCAGCAGTGCAGACTTGTCCTTGATCTCATTGCCCGCAGCCCACGTCTTTATCTGGTCGCGGGATCTTTGTAGTTTCTTGATCTCCTTCTTGAGATTGTCCTCGAGTTTGTCCTTTTGCGCGGCATTTTGCGAGGAGTAGATCTTCTCATAGATGGCCTCGAACGCTTGGATGCCTTCGTCGACCTTCTTGAAGGTTTTATCGATTTCTTGTTGTGTTTTCCGCGACGCCATGGTTCCGGGACATCAATAGAGGTATGGGGAGATGCGGCGAGGATACGAGGACCGGAGGAGGGAGATATTAGGTGCACCGATGGCGCATGGATATGTGTTGTAGTTGGGCCTGGGTGCGGTAATGGCAGCCGCGCGCTGCGTCTATTGCGGCATGCCAGGTTGGGACGGGAGGTGCTTGATCACGTGATGGGCTGTTTTAGGCGAACTGTGGTCTTGGCATGAAACCAGTTCGACCGCCAGTTCCTCAGCCATTTTGCTCTCCCATCTTTCATTGTCATTGCACACGCCTATTGCGCAGAAGACAGACGCCATTTCCTGGCTGAGAAACGACACACACGGACCGCAAGCGACATCCCAACTTGCACACTTCGTAGCAGCTGCCAAGACCACGGACTGACTGGGTTGATGGCGCATGGTATCTCTAGACCGCGGGAGAATTCTCAAAGAAACTTATCGATCGGCCATTCGCTCGTCTGTGCTGCCTTCTAGTGAATTCTGAGGCTACCCTTGTGAAGGAAAATCACCCCAAGCCGGCGAGATGAAAGCAATACTCCAGCGAGTCCTATCTAGCACCGTCACGGTCAATGGTCAAACCGTTTCAGCTATCGGCAAAGGAGTTCTTGTTCTCGCTGCAATTGGACCCGATGACACAAAGAAGGATGCCGAAACCATGGCTTCCAAAATCGTAAAGATGAGATTGTGGCCAGACGAATCTGGTCTCAACTGGAAGAAGAGCGTTCAGGACATCGAGGGGGAGATCATGTGCGTGTCTCAATTCACACTGATGGCCAATACAAGGAAGGGCACGAAGCCTGATTTCCACGGAGCGGCGAAGCCAGAAGTTGCAAAGGAGCTATACGACTATTTTGTGAGTCGCGTTCGTGAACAGCACGGCTTGGACAGAGTCAAAGATGGTGTCTTCCAAGCCATGATGCAAGTCAGTCTTGTCAATGACGGTCCAGTAAGACTAATTTCCCTGCATGTGGTCAAGAGTGAGCATGTCAATACTGAAGAATCTAGGTCACCATCGAGATCGATACAAGTCCTCCGAAGAAGGATTCCTCGAGCAGCTCCAAAAACGGCACTGGAGCGTCGACGCCAGTACAGCAGGAGACTACTTGAGATATGCCAATGATCTTGATGTCCGATGCGAACTTATCTGCTACCCTCAGCACCTAAAGAGTCCCTTGAGCCATCTCGTGCCCCTTTTTGATGCATGAGACACGACCCGGAAGTCACGTGCTCTCGCGCAACAAGGAGAAGCCCGCCATCTGGCGATAAAACCAACGACACATACTTTGCATGATTCGACAGCCATCGGGCAGGGCATTCTGCGTATCTCATACGTAACGTGAAGCCTGTCCAGACACGCGGGGGAGACCAACGTCCGTTCGTCCAGCATAGCTGCCTTTCCTGGTTTAACCGACAAGGCGGGTTGAAGCCATTATTGGACCTGGGCGCTCCTTATCAAGGTCCACATAAGCTGTAACGTTATTTCAGCCATTTCAACCAAGCTGATGACGAGGTCAAACGCAGGGCGACGGACAAGTGCCTATCAATGTGTGAGGGGTAAGTCCTTTGCTGATCAGTCATGCCCCGCAAAGCAGTAAACAACTTTGGGATATGAGGACGAGACTTCCAACGAGCACCTGCGAATCTTTCAGCCAGGCTCAAGCACAGCTCACACATCTATCTATTGCAACGACAAGTTATCCAAGGCGCTACCATTCATCCTCGACCGACTCTTGTTCTTAACCAGCATGCCTGGCCCAATCAGGACTGCATTGAAGGTTGATCTTGACAAGCCTGCTAAAGACCAACCATATCTCCATGTGAGCACTGAACCAGCAGGAGAGAGGACCATCGACTGACACGCTATCCAGAACAGATGGCATCCTGATGGTAAGGTAGCGTCAATGACTGATGTCTACGTCGCTAAATGCAGCTCTCAGTACCATTTTGTGGAACCATAAAGAACGGCGAGACCGTCAAGATCGAGTGTTTGGACTGGACCGGCGGACAGATCAAGAACACAGACGATGCTGATGATGTCGTGAACGTCGACCTGACTCAGGTCCACTACCTTTCCGGACCCTTTGAGATCGAGACCGCAGAGCCCGGAGACGTTCTCCTTGTGGAAATTCAAGACGTGCAGCCCTTCCAGGATCATCCATGGGGTTTCACCGGCGTGTTCCACAAGGACAACGGTGGCGGCTTTTTGGATGAGATCTATCCAGAAGCGTAAGGAGTTTCTCTGTCTCCAGCATGGGCTGGGTTGTCTAACAGTTACTATACGATAGTGCCAAGGCTATCTGGGACTTTGAAGGCATCTTCTGTTCCTCACGGCATATTCCCGGCGTCCGCTTTGCGGGACTTATCCATCCAGGCATCCTGGGCTGCGCACCATCCCATGAGATCCTCGCCGAGTGGAATAAGCGTGAAGCCGAACTCATCTCGACAACGTCCCTCAAGCGCGTCGTGGCACAACCTCCTGAACCAAGGAGCGTGCATGCGGGAACGGCCGACGAAGAGACGAAAGCTCGAGTTGGCAAAGAGGGCGCCAGGACGATCCCCGGGCGTCCTGAACATGGCGGGAATTGTGATATCAAGAATCTTTCGCGGGGAAGTAAAGTGTATTTACCCGTGCATGTCAAGGGAGCCAAATTCTCCGTGGGAGACTTGCACTTCTCCCGTATGTTTCTTTCCCTGTACTCTGAAAAGATGACTATGTCGCTAATCACATATCCCCGTGAACCCCAGAGGGCGACGGTGAAATTTCGTTTTGCGGCGCCATTGAGATTGCCGGCATCATCACCATCAAGTTCGATGTGATCAAAGACGGCCAGCGCAAACTCGGCATGGTCGGCGGGAAATCCCCCATCTACATTCCTGGCCCTGTCCAGCCACAGTTTGGGCCCGGCCGAATGATCTATTTTGAGGGTTTCAGTGTCGACGAACATGGCAAACAGCACTACATGGATGCGACGGTGGCGTATCGCCAGTCCTGTCTGCGGGTTATCGAGTACCTCCGGCGATATGGGTACAGCGACTATCAGATCTATCTGATGCTCAGCTGCATCCCGATCGAAGGCCACGTGGCAGGGATCGTGGACATCCCCAACGCGTGCACGACGATCGGGCTGCCGATGGACGTCTTCAACTTCGATATCTCGCCCGGTGCGGAACCCGTCAAGATGGACCTGGGCAAGTGCGCCATGGCCACCAAGTAAGAAAGAGTGGCTGCTAACACCTGGTCTTTGGATCGGCTCGTCAACTCGAGGTCGAGACAGGAGAAGGCAAGCATCAAAAGTGAGGACAGTGTGCATGATATTTTCTTCCCCCGTCAAAGGATGAAAGCTCCAGTTTTCTTTGCCCAGCCCTAATACCATGTCCAAAGTTTGAACCCCCAGAAATTGGGCTTCTTTTATGAATGTTGGGAAATATTGACGACAAGTTCTATCGATTACATCGATTAAGAGAGATGACAGAATGCAATCAAGAGCCATTTATTAGCTGTTGTCCGCTTTCCAATCCATTCCATTCCATCTCGATCCTACCGTTCCACAATTTGCTTCTAGATCGCATGTGACCTGGGTGACCTGGGGAGTACTAACGAGTCCATATGTAGATGAAGGGTAAGACAATGTCAACCCGGGGAGGTGGTGGGTTCCCAATATGCAGCGACAACCACATCACCCAGACCTTGCGACCCTAGATCGATAGTCCACCTGGTAGCTTTGCCCTTGATGAGGATCCGTGACCCGGGACGTACATCTGACCATGAGTGGTCGAGGCTGGAGCGTCTGCTGCCACCACCGCCACCACTACCGGGTCTCTCGTGCTGCTGTTCCGGCAGAAGCCACCGGTGGCCCTGGTCGTCGGACACGAGGACGAACCGGCCACTAGCGTCCCTCTCGACCTGGGCTACCTGGAGCGTTTCCTCTGCGGGGAATTCGACGTGGGACTCTCGCGTCGCGATGTCCAGCACCCAGCTCCGGACCAGCGACGCGCTGCCGCCGGGGAGATAGTCCCTCTTGCCGCGGCGGCGCGAGGGCGAGAAGATGTCCGGGAGAACGGGTCCGGTGCCGGTGCCGCTGCCGGTCGATGCACGCGCAGCGGGGTCGTCTGGGCCGGGCGGTTTGAAGACGGTCCTCGAGACGACGGGGCTGTGTAGAGTCAAGCCTCGAGTACTCGTGGGGATGGGCCTGAAGCGGGAAATCCTGCTCGACGAGTCGTTGAATGCCGCTGTTGGCCTTCTAGGCTGGCCGATGTCGTCCTCTAGATCGGACAGCGAGGTGGGAGAGTCGGCGTCGATCTGGAAACTCGTCTCATCAAGGTCATGGTGTTCTGGGGAAGAGGAGGAGATGGCGATGGGCGCAGCACTGACGTTAGTTCCAGGGTGAGATACCTTGCGTCGTTTGGTGGCTGGGCCGGGATCTCTCAGTCGATGCTGCAGAGGTGATGATGGTTCGTTTCCGGGGTCATGGTCATCTTCTTCCACGTCCTCTGCTACACGAACCCCTCGAATATACAGCGGCGAGAGTGTTTGATGGGTTTCGTCGTCGTCGAAATCAAGTATATCTCCCCCGCCAGTGGTAGCGATCAAGCGGCCCTTTGACGAAATTGCTGAGTCGGCCTCGTCGTCGTCGTTGTCGTCAACATTCGTCTGAATGTCATCCCTGACCGTCGGGGTCGCCCGTTGAAACCGTGGTGTGGCGGCGAGAGAAGAAGGGGTCGCAGAGGGTAGCTGTGTGGAGCGTGAGCTCTGGAACGGGTTCCTACGGACAGAGAGAGGGCCAGTTGTCTTTGCTGAGGACGAAGTCGACGGAGGCAGGAAACGCCTTGTTGGTGCAGGTGTCTGAGACTTTTGTCAACGCAGCTGAGCCAGCTCACCAGGATGGGGATCATCGTTACATTTTCAGGTTCTGGCATGATTCAGTAGCATCTTTACCATCACCACCATAGAATATTTCAGGCGAATTGACCGATACATCAGACTGGAGGCAGCTAGCTATTGAGGGTTTGTTAAAAGCAATGATCGTCAAGATCCTTGAAAGAGTTGGTGGGTCGTGGTCACGTGGGGTGTCTAGAAGTATGCAAAAGTACCGAGAATGAGCACGAGATATTTGTGCGAAAAGCCATTCCCAGTCCATGGCTCCATATCCATTCCCCGTCATCAAATGTTACATGTACATATGCATTATGCTCCCCATATTTTCGTGTCCTTTGGAGCTGCATCAAAATATCAACAATGTCTCACTTTTCTTTTCCGCCATAAGTCTGATTCAGGTACGAGTCCAGGTCAGCCTCGTAACGGCTTTTCCTTCTTGACAAGCCAGATCCCTGCTTTTCCTCTCGCCGACACTGAGCGGCGTCCTCGGTGAATGGCCTTCGGATATCGAGGCAGTCATTGTAATCCAACCGATCACGATTTGGGGGTTCCCCTCGCTCTTGGTAGCTGCTTTGTAGGGGTTGCGCTTGGGGGTTGGCTCGTTTTCCGTTATCAACACGCCCGCTGTTGTTCTCGACTCCTGGTTCGAAGATCCCACTTGCACCTAGAAAGATGCAGCGATTCCAGTAGGGGTCATTCCGTGTGCTGTAATCCAATGGTCCTCCGCGCCGCACTGGGCGCAAGAGCTTGGCTGCTGAGGAGCATCGCACACAGTATTTGTGCGCACATCCAAACGTTGGCCGGCTTGGGCCGGGCAAGGGATGTAGAATAGCGAGACGGGTGAAGAAGCATGGGCATGTATGCCAATTTGTGCGCTTATAAAGCTTGAGGGATGGCAAAGCTAGTGGGTTAGGTTGGGATTGGCCCTGGCCTGCGTCTTTACGGGGGGACTTGTACGGCCGTTTTGAAAGGTAGGAGAAGAGAATCTTTGCATCCGCAGAAGCATTTGGGGTAGCATCTTGCGGCGACGAATAATCAGAAGCTATAATTGAGTGAAGAACAAAGGGACAAAGGGGGACCAGAAGATTGCACATGCCGCCAGATGCAGATTACTCGTACGAGGCAAGGCTGAAGGTGCGTTGCGGTATGGATTTGGATACCTTGAGCGGTTTGACAGTTGAGAGATATTAAAAAAGTAGAAGATGATAATATCTTCTCAGAAGCGCCGGCCGACGAGGTCAACTTACATGTTTGACAACAAAGGGTTGAGAGTTGAGGGTTGAGGCACGAGGAAGAGACCCAAAGTCCCCAAAGCGTGACAAAAGGACTTGGGAAGGCAGACCGGTTGTAGCCAGAGACGAATCGCAGGCAAGGGCGACGATTGGTTCAAGCAGCCAAGGCAAGGCAGACGGATGCCTAAAGGGTTCCGAGGGCATTGATGCTTTGAGTCATTTGGACGTTGATCGAGCCTGGGACATTCTTGTCATGCCACGGCCACCTCGTGAAGACGGGTGTGGCCTCTTGTTCGGCTGAGAAGTTGGTCTTCGGCATCGAAAGGTGAGGTAAGAGAGGTTAGTTGATTGAGTCACTTATCGTGGTGCCATATTGTTTTGTATTAGTCTTTAAGGCCGTGCACCATCAATTGAGGGAAGTAGGAGACTAGGTCCCGAGAGACAAGAGAATGTTGTTGAGGCCTAGAATAAAGGCATGAGAGGAGTGGTGGTCATGGTTAAGAGGAGATGGAAGTGTAGGCTAGAGAGAAGGATGGGGAGAAGGGAGGGGCGTGAGCGTAGGGCGGATGGGGCCTAAACGGGAAACGGCGAGATGGGGACATGCGGCCTAGAAGAGGGAGATCTGCTTAGCCGACCACCGACGACACCCCCACGGTCTCCCCGGGAATATGCTGGTACTGTAACTGTAGGGTGCTTGGCAATCAGTGTACGAGGTACCTTTACAGTAGGTGGTTCAGCGGGCTCATAGGTACTTGTACGGCTGTGAACAAGCCCGGGGGCAGCCGTAAGCAGCCGACTCATTCTTGATCCCAGCCTGCAACAGAACCAGGAGGATGTCCGGGACCATCCATCAATCAGCCTGATTGCCTGCGCTTTTCACTCTTAATGCTCCAACCACTTGACCTCTTCCCTCTCCCCTTCGTTTGCAAACCGCCTGTTGCTCGTTTGATCTTCTCACAACTACCACTACAAGCAAATTACAATCTGAATCCCCGTGCTGGGTGAGACGAGATTGCTTATTCACTCTTAACCATGTAACCAGCATCTGTCTGTCCTCGGTGGTGGCGGCGTCATGCATGATGCGTCCGGTACGGGACCCTCGTATCTTCATTCACTTCGCTAAGATTGCGCACATCTCACACCATCTGCCAATGACAATCCAGGGGGTCACGACATCCTCCAGGTAACATCTCGACAAAACGACTCCCACATTTGCATCCATCGCGCGTCCGAAGAACCGTCTCACCGTTCCTTGCCAGTCCTCTCCACATTGACGGAGCTTATCTCTCCGCCAATTGGCACTGCGGCGATCCTCCCCTACGCGGTCGTATCCGCCACAATGTCGATCTCACCAACAGCTTTCCCCTCCATGCTTATGCTCAATCAAGAAGCTATTGAAGAGTCATCCAATCCTTTGCCTCGCAGGCAATCCTCGACGGTGAAAGCCACCTTCCAATTCCACACTTCCTCCGCCTCAGTAATGCAAGGGCTAGCGATCCAAGGTGGATGCTTGTGTTCCGGATGCCACCTTAATGCTTGTCTATCTCTCGGAGCAACGTCCAATGAGGCAGGATAGCAAATTATACGATGCTACATGACGTTGCTCTGGCTCTGTGAAGCGGACATGGATGCACGAGGACGGGCCTATGTGCCCGATTCATTTGGATCGAAGCTCAGGAATAAAGATAAATACTTGCAGCTGCTGTTTTCAAGGAACCTCGCTGCTTCTCTCGCTCTTTCTCGTCGCTCGTTCTCGTCGCTGGGTTGGTCGGTCTCGTGTGTCACCCCCAACCAGGTTCCAAAGCATGGCCCATCTTCAAGCATCCACCATGCTTGCTGCAGCACTGTCTCTTCTGGGCTGCTTCCAACCCTCTCTCGTTGCTGCTGGTCCTGTTACCCGTCGCTCCGACCTGATCGTCAAAGACTTCCACCCTGCTCCGAGGGCCTGGTCAAACCTGGGGCCCGCGCCAGGTGATCATCTGATCCACCTAACCATTGGTCTTTCGCAGAGTCGCTTCGATGAGCTTGAACGCCACCTTTATGAAGGTACCACATCTAAACCTGGAGCATCGTCGATTGAGCTGACCCCTTGCTAGTCTCTGACCCGTCACATGCCCGTTACGGCCAGCATTTGTCGGCTGAGGAAGTGTACGACCTGGTGAAACCTTCAGTTGACACCTCCGCCGCCGTCCACGAGTGGCTGCATGAATATGGTGTTGACGTTGAGCAACTCACCTACAGCCCGGCCAGGGACTGGATCACCGTCTCCCTGCCAGTCTCAGCCGTTGAGGATATGCTGAACACAGACTACTCTGTCTGGGAACATCCCGATGGCTCGACCCTGGTCCGCACCGAAGGGTATTCTCTTCCGCACTATGTCCACGAGCATATCAGCACGATCCAGCCAACAAATTCGTGGGCTCGACTTGAGGGCCACAAGACACGAACCGAGATCAGGAAGCGCTCTTTGGTCACCAAGCGCAGCTCTCATGTGCTCGAAGCTGCAGACACTTACTCACCCCCTGATTCGATTCCCCTGCCCGCGAATTCTACCATTTTTGCCGCATGTAATTTCACGTCGGTGACACCAGACTGCCTGCGGACCCTGTATGGCACCCTTGATTACGAGGTCAAGGCAGCCGGTAAGAACAAGATGGCCCACACGAATTACTTGGAGGAGGCCACCAACCGCTCGGACATCAACATGTTCTTGTCAAAGTTTCGACCCGAGGCGGCTGCCTATGCCTTTGAGTTCGAGGCCATTTCCATTGCAGGCGGCGTTATAGATAATGGCACCAATGTCGCCGCGGAGGGAAGAGACAGAGAGGCAAACCTGGATGCTGAATATATGATTGGAATTGGCTACCCAACACCATTAACCGCATACCATACCGGTGGGAGAAACCCGACGTTTGTGCCCGACTTGGTGACACCCGACAACAGCGATGAGCCCTTCCTGGTGTGGGCCAATTATATGGCAGGGCTGCCGGATGATGAGGTGCCTCAAGTCATTTCCACCTCCTATGGAGACGACGAGCAAACTATGAGTCGGTCTTACGCCCAAGCAGCCTGCAATCAATTCGCACAGCTAGGAGCACGGGGCGTATCACTATTCTTTTCCAGTGGTGATGCTGGTGTTGGAGGCGATGGACAATGTTTCAGCAACGTGGACAATACTACAGCCATGTTTCTTCCCGCTTTTCCAGCGTCTTGCCCGTACGTCACCGCCGTTGGAGCGACAACCGGCTTTCCTGAATCGGCTGCCTGGAGGAAGCTGTCTTCCGGCGGCATCTTTACCAGTGGAGCGGGCTTCAGCAACTATTTCGACATGCCCACCTACCAAGCCGAGACTGTGAATACATACGTGGACGACCTTGGAGGGCTCTATGACGGGCTATATAATAAATCGGGTAAGTTCCATGGGTTCAGCTATACAGATTTGGCCTGCTGACGCTCCTTTTCTTTCCTTTTAGGACGCGCCTACCCCGATCTTTCCTGCATTGGACAAGTCTTTCCCGTTACGTGGAATGGTAGCACACTCAACCTCGTCGGCACTTCTGGGTCTTCGCCCATCTGCGCAGCTGTTTTCTCGCTGTTGAACGATGCATTGATCTCTGAGGGACGCCCATCCATGGGTTTCCTCAATCCATGGTTGTACAAGTGGGGTCACACCCTCTTTACCGATGTCACGAATGGCACGTCTGCTGGCTGCAATACGACTGGTTTCCCTGCGACCCCTGGGTGGGATGCTGTGACCGGCTGGGGAACGCCATTCCTCCCAAAACTGCTCGAGGCTTTCGGTTTGAAGTAAGAGATGGCCAATCAGACGAGCTCTGTACATAGGCACTTACAAGAAGAAGCGTGACAGGGATAGTAATGAGGAATGAAAACAGATCAATCTCCAGTTACTTGTCGCTTTCCACCTTTCTTTTGCTTTTTCTGGCTTCCACGTCCTCGTTTTACATCTATAGCCCTGTGTGGGATTGACACGAGCAGAAGTCCACGTTCAGCCAAGTCGCCCCCGGCACTACTTGCTAGTGAGAGGTGAAGCCTCGGTGATGATCGTTGCTCGGAGCTGGCCGATACGCCTCCTCTTCATGGAAAAGCGTAAAGGTAATGATTGGCATCACCTCCACTTGGACTGTGGGGTAAAATCGATAGACAACGTTGCATTGTCCACGACCATCAAGGACAGAAAAGTCGATTGACGGCTTACAGGTTTTGCCGCCGACGAGGAGCGATGGATGTCTCACACAGGAAGAGAAGGACATGATCCTCGGAGACCAGGCGGAACCAGTTTCACGCCCAATACCTCGAACTTTGCTCAATTCCTATACCTCGTCGCCTGACTGAGATCCCCCTCCCCCTCTCACCACTGAACACCACCTACCCTTGCCTCTTGAGTTGTGGCGACTCTTTCGCCTTCTCTCACCATGAAATACAAGCAAGCCGTGCCCGTCACTGTCTCCCTGCGAGACCTCGAGTCCAACGCCGTCCCATTCAGCACGCTCCTGAACGCCTTCGGCCCGGATAGCCTGGGCATCCTCGTCGTGACGGACCTGCCCTCGACGTTTCCCCTGCTGCGACAGAAGGTCCTTTCCAACGCCTCGCGCCTCGCGCACCTCCCTCGGCCGGTCCTCCAGACCCTGACGAAGCCCAGCGCCAAGTACCTCGTCGGGTGGAGCCACGGGGTGGAAACGCTGCGACCCGGGGTAGTCGACACCGCCAAGGGGAGCTACTACATCAACTGCGCGTTCTACAAGTCGCCGGCCCTGCAGTCCGCGGACAGCGAAAAGTTCCCCGGGTTCGAGGAGTACACGGCGCCGAACGTGTGGCCGGGCCCAGAAGACATTCCGCGGTTCCAGAACGACGCAGAGAACCTGATCCGGTTGATCATCGACACGGCCGTGCTGGTCGCGCGCGCGTGCGACCGCTTCGCCGAGCACGAGATCGATGGCTACGAGGCCGGGTACCTCGAAAAGGTGGTGAGGGGGAGCGAGACCACAAAGGCTAGGCTGTTGCACTATTTCCCTTCCACTGCTCCTACTGCCACTGCGCAGGCGGGCGTGAACGGCAGTGTCACAAATGGCGGGCATGTCTCTCAGGACAAGAAGAACGAGGAAGAGCAAGATGAGGATGGTCCAGAAATCGACGACTCCTGGTGCACCACGCACCTCGACCACGGGTGTCTGACGGGGCTCACCTCGGCCATGTTTGTCGACGAGTCCGCTGCCTCTTCCGCTCCCAACGGAGCATCCGACCAGGGACACAACAAGAAGAAGGACGAGCACCAGGACGAATACACGGAGCTGCCCTCCTCCCCGGACCCGCAGTCGGGGCTGTACATACTCTCGCGGGCTGGGCAGGTCCACAAGGTGAGCATCCCGCGCGACGCGCTGGCCTTCCAGACCGGCGAGGCGCTCGAGCTCATCACCCGCGGCCGCTTCAAGGCCGTCCCGCACTTCGTCAAGGGCGTCGACGCACGCAACCTCGCCGATAACCCAAAGATGAGCATCGCCCGCAACACCTTGGCCGTCTTCACCCAGCCCAATCTGGACGAGCCCGTGGATTTGGAGACGGGCCTGACCTTTGGCGAGTTCGCCAGGGGTGTCGTCAAGAGGAATACTGCGGGTTAAGCCACGCAGAAGACCAATATGTAAAAGATCAAGGGGTTTCACAGTGTGGAAAAAAAGGTGTGGGATCAGTGCCAAAAACTTATGATTCTCGTTAGAGCAAAATCAATATCCGCTTTTGTTGCGTATTGCTAAACCTCTGTCTTTCCAGCTTCGGTCATCTTACTTGCCCATAGATTAATTTCATACCCGTACCATATGTTTGTCCTTCACTCGCCTTGTCGAATGATTACCTCAACCCATGTTCCCACGCTTGCTCAACAAGTTTAACCCTCCATAGAAGAACCCAAGCACCCATATTCCGAGGTAAAGTTGATGGTGGATGAATTCGCCAAACGCCGCCGACATTGAAGGCCAGTCCAATTGTCAGAATACGTCAAAACGCCTCGCTTTAATGATGAGTTTCCGTGCCTGCCGCAAATTCTAAGGATCAAAGCATATTCAGTCGTACTTTTTGACAAAACACGCAGGAAAGTAAAAACAGAACCAGCCGCATTCACATCGCGTTCCAAGAGAGTGTCGAGAAGATGTGGAAGGACGTTGTGGAAAAACATGGCTTCACCTGGCCGCCTCTGTTTGTGATCGCCGTGCGAAAATCGACAGGGACGCGCCGTCGACAGACACGCGAGTGGAATCGGTCTCTACCAGGTCAAGATGACCGGCTTCGTGGTATGAATCTTCTTGAGATTGGGGAGTACGGGACCGTGATGAGGTTTCAGTATCCCCGCCCGCTTGTTGAATGGCTCTCAGTGTCTCCGGCTCCAGATTGCGGATCGCAGTCATGATCAGGTCAATGTCAATTTCGTCGTACCGCTCCAAAATTTCTGTAAGCCACTCCTCCCATGCTTGGTTGATGGCCGAAGGATCTCCTCGCAGGCGAGATTGCATAGCATCGCGTAGCAAATGGATAAACCCTTCTTCTGGTACTGATGTGAGAGTGTCCACGTCTTTGATCTTGCCTTGTCCTTTTTCCGGAGTTGCTACGAGTGTCTCGCTATCCGAAGACACTCGGTCGACGGAGGCTGAGCGCGATGAATCTTCGAAGATTGCTCTGGGACCATTTCCAGGCAATGCCGCGACGACATCATCGGCTGTAGTAGTCCTGACCTCGACACCTGCCTCACGTTCGTATCTCTCCTTGGCCGCTCTTGTTCCTTCCCATTGACACAAATTCAGGATTTCGTCGGCTGTCAACCCCAATTCGTCGAAGACGCGGAAAAGACGTCTATGCCAGGGATATCTGGACAGTCGACGGCGGTGAGGGGGGAAAGTGTAGTCGAGGCCAGGGTATTGTGCTTCTAGGGTGTCGAGCGCCCCGTAATAGTTTTGTACTTCAACCCGAACCTCACCCACGATATTACGTTGGATATGAGCGTAGAATGAGACTGGATCCCCTGGCTTCGGTTTGGGAAACGTCCTCTGAAAGATCAACTCTGGAATGCATGGTTTTCTCATGATGGACTATATGTCCCCCAGACTGGGCAAGTCCACCTGTTTTGCTCGAGTTTTCTCAATCTTTCGCCAGTGGCACCTCCAGGATCCTCAACACTTGCACCTTGACCAGGCTTGTGTAATAGGTAGGTAGTGGTGTTCTTGTCACAGGTAGAACAGAGGTTCAGTGAGTGGGAAGTGTTCGGCTACCGACGTTTGGCCGGGGCTACGTAGGCGGCAGGTGATCTCAGGATCTTCGGAGCTCTGTGGAATAGTGTGAGCAGATGACTCGAAAGGGAGCGGGACGATGGCGGTTCTTTGTAAGGGCAGGCGGGACAGAGACGACAGGATTTGGCTGGAGGTGGTAGGGAGGAGGCGGGAGGGAGTTGCTAAGGAGGTATTGCGGGAGGAGCAGGCAGAGTTCGAATTAAAGTGAGGGGGGTCTTCGAGGTTTTGACAGCTCCCTGATGGAATTCCAAGGAGTCCGCTAGAGTTGTTGGTACGTGGTCTTGATCCCTTTGGGGGGGCGGCAAAGAATCTCGCTTTTTAGCTTCAGGTACCACCAGGACTGAGAGGTAAACAGGCTCCCTGAACCCCGCCGCTGACGATGCTTACTGACGACCCGCTGGTGCCACCGATATCCAAAGTCCAGGCGTCAACTGACACATCCGTCGTTAGCTTGGGTGTTTCGAACTTGCGAAAACAGTCTTTTCGGCTGTGCCTATATATTCGGGACCGCGACAGAAGAGCGGTGACTTGTCTGCGGTCCGGCTAGTAACGAACAACAAAGGGAAAAGAGAATGGAGAATTGAATACGAATCGACGTTGAATTGGGTCCAGCTGCCAGCGATCGCTGCGTTGGCACAGTCCGATGCACTTGAGACGTCGTTTGACCCTTGGTTCTGCCACCACTGCGTCCTGTTTGCTGCTTGCCTTGACTTGCACTTGAGTGACTGTCAAGTCGACTGGGTCTGCCACATCACCATCTAATCCAACCAGCTGGATCGAACCACAGTCACGTCCTCTCTCACGACCAGACCATACCCGCTTTTCGCCCTTGACGGTTTTCCTGTTTGTCAGGTGGCCAGGTCAGCCCGTGCATGACCCTGACGCCTGGGTGCAGCGTTCGTCAAGTGGACAAATAGGCGGCCAGCCTTTACGCCATCCCCTCTGTGTGGCTTTCCCTAATGCCAATCCTCCTTGGGCCTATTCTGCCGATAGGACAAGCTGCCGAGAGTCCCCTACCAGTAACCGCTCGAAAACTCCCTGCTGGTCATGGTTGCTGTTGGTCAGGATCTGTTTCGGGCAGCCTCTTGACTGGTCGCCTTTTCGCTCGTCACCCCACGAATGTGCTCACCCCAGCGTGTGGGGAAGGAGCCTGATCTGAACACAGCCTTGCATTCAACATATTCGGTGCAAAGCCTTGACTGGAGGGAGATATAGTGAGCGTCGCTGGCAGTTATGTCGACGTTCAATGGCCTTGTCAAGGAATTCCCCAGTATTAGAATCGACTACTTCCGGCATCATCCAGGAAGGCCGCCACCTGCTGCCTATTTTCTCAGCCATGTCCATAGTGATCACCTACTTGGGTTGGAGTCGGTCAAAATGCCCTTTGTATATTGTTCGGCGACCACCAAGCGTATTCTGCTGAACATGGAAAAGTATCCCCACCGGATCAATTTTGCAAAGGGCATCCTCGAGGCTCGGAAACAACACTATCGTCATCTGAAGACCGTTCTCAGACCACTGCCGATGAACACGGCTACTACACTTGAGCTTGGGCCAAAACTAATCGTTCGGGTGACATTGCTGGATGCCAATCATTGTCCTGGCGCGGTCATGTTCTTGATTGAAGGCGATGGCAAGGCCATACTTTACACGGGAGACATCAGGGCTGAATCGTGGTGGGTGAATTCGATTGTGCAAAACCCCGTTCTCCTGCCGTATGCTTGCGGCCTGAAATGTCTTGATTGTATCTATCTCGACACCACGTTTGCCACGCGCGATGAACCATATAGTGACTTCCCGACGAAAGCCGAAGGGCTGAGAGAGCTTCTCGGGAAAGTGATGCAATGCCCACCAGACACGGTATTCTACTTTCGGGCCTGGACATTGGGCTACGAAAAAGTCTGGATTGCTCTATCCAACATTTTGCAATCCCGCATCCATGTAGACGAATATCAACTCCGGCTATTTAGCAATGGAGCCGAAGATACTGGCAGTAACGACAGTGCTGCACTGACCGGCTTCACCGTCGGCAACAGTCTGCTCCCAGGTTGTCTCAGTCGGGATAACACGGCCAGAATTCATAGCTGTGAACCCGGATTGGAGTGTCACTCTGAGATCAAACGGATGAAAAACACCAAGTGGATAACTCCGATCATTTCGAGACTCAAGGATGGAACCGAGATCAGGGAACTTGGGGCTGGAGGCGGTGCGAGAGATCTCTATCCCACCTCCGAGTTGAAGGTGGAGGATCAGGCATCCGTACAGCAGCTTCTGGGCCTCTTTGCATCTTCTGCAGATGACAAAACGGCGAAGTTGAACATGTCTCGAGCACTTGGCTATCTCAAAGCAACAGGAGATCTATCCCTCGCTCTTGAAGGACTAGAGGAGTTGGAACTTGATCAGAATGGCCAGATACAGCTGAAGGATTTTGTGCCCTTCTTAGCCAACAGATACGGGAAGATGGATGCTTCAACTCCAAGGCACATGCACTTCAATCCAGAGCCAAACCCCCAAGTCGAGGCAACTGACACCATACGCTTTCCATATTCTCGCCATTCCTCATATAACGAGCTTCGTGATTTTGTTGGGCTGTTCCGACCTAGGGATATCTGCCCCTGCACGGTCTGTCCAGAGACTTGGACGGAAGAACTCAGCATACAGTCACTTTTTGGAGACCTCTGCTCGGAGCAGACATTCTACTTTGATCGAGAGACTAGAGAAGAAGTCGAAAAGCTGAGGGAGCGAGAGGGCCCTACGAGTGCTCGCGGTAAAAGGAAGAGAGGCGATGACGATGGTCAGAAGAGGGAGTCCCGGGACACTGACCATGAGGAGTGCATGAATGTGGGCGAGCGAATGGAGATCCTTGTACCCTCTAAGCAGCCCACTGACCTCAGAGATGCCGAGCTAGGTCGAGAGAGCTCCAACCAGGCAAAGTGTGACCTGAGCTCCAGCGGCATTCCCATAGAACAAGCGACATTTCACCAAGATCAAGAGAACGTTGACAGGGATCCGTTCGAGGACGACTCTGATAGTGAAGCCTTGTCCCCCTCGGTATTTGATAGTCAACCAGGAGACCAGTTGAGTCTATCGGATACAAATGTCGAAGAGCAGTCATCGCGACTTCCGAGGGCTCAGTATGAGCGTGAAAGTTCGTATCACATGAGCAACCGCCTCAGCGGCACAACACGCAACCCAAATCTCAGGCGAGAGAGGTTTCGGGCGTACAAGGCTGCAAAAAGGTGCCTGTCACACAATGACAGCTCGGACTGGGATGCGCTGTCTCTGAGAAGCGTGGGACATGTTGGACACGGCATTGAGGAGATGGAGCTGTGAGGTACGAGATCTGTCGAGAGAGGGTGCTATAGAAAACAGCCTTGTGCTTGTATATCTAGACAAATGTATAGGTAGGTATCTATATACCGAGTACATAGATACAGTACCTTGCATACGCAGTTGAATCCCGGGTTCGGCCTTAACAGACTCGGAGGCTGCAAAGACCGAGACGCTATCAATTGGCTACGCGTCCCGGTTTCGCAGTCGAGCTCGCTGATCGAAATCGCATTGTTGACGCCATCTCGATTTCCTTGACGTCTCACGATCCGATTTTCTATCTTTCCCTCCTCGTTCTCTTCACCTCTCTCCTACGCCAAGTTTCTTCCATTATGCTCGCCAGGTCAGTCCTGAGGTCCTGCGGGCCTCTTCGCCAGGTATGTAACCTTGATCATGTCCATTATCCCGAGGGCAATACCTACACTCTCCGTGGACAGGGTGCTTCATCGTCCAAGCTTACAAATGAGCTCACACGTCCTTCTCTTCGCACAGAACTTCCGCACGTACGCGACCGAAGCTCAGAAATCGTCCTCCTCGTCGACACCCTGGATAGTCGGCGCCGCCGCAGTAGGTGCAGGCGTCATTGGCTACAACTTCTTGGGAACCAGCAGCAAATCTGCCAATGCTGACGCTCCCAAACCCTCCGAGGATGCGAAGAAGCTGGATAAGCAGGGCCCTGCGCCCGGAAAGACCTTCACAGGTGGCGAGCAGGGATTTGTCGACTTGAAGCTGGCCGAGATCATCCCGTATAACCACAATACCAAGAGGTTCAAGTTCGAGTTGCCAGACAAGGACCATGTGAGCGGGTTGAACGTCGCTTGTAAGTTCAGCGCCAGAGGACTATATATGGTGGGCCACGGTTGTTAATCTGTTGCGAAGCTGCCATCATCACAAAATTCAAGCCGGCCGATCAGGAAAAGCCTGTCATTAGACCCTACACACCCATCAATGATGAAGGTATTTGACCCTCTCCCACCAACCACCTTCACCAGACTCACTCGTTCCCGCAGATGTGAAAGGCTACCTCGAGCTCCTGGTGAAGGTCTATCCTAATGGGCCAATGTCCGAACACCTCTTCGGCATGAAACCAGGTGAAACCCTTTCCTTCAAAGGTCCCATTCCGAAATACCCCTGGGCGCCAAACAAGCACGAACACATCACACTTATCGCCGGAGGTACGGGCATCACGCCCATGTATCAATTGATCCGCACCATTTTCAAAAACCCCGAGGACAAGACCAAAGTCTCGCTCATCTTCGGCAACATCAAGGAAGAAGACATTCTGTTGAAGCAGGAGTTGTCGCAGCTGGAGAACGAGTTCCCTCAGAGGTTCCGATGCTTCTATACCCTGGACAACCCGCCCGAGAGCTGGCCGTATGGAAAAGGGTTCATCAACAAGGACTTGCTGAAGGAGGTCATCCCGGACCCAAAGAGCCAGAATATCAAGATCTTCGTCTGCGGACCTCCGGGGCTGTATAAGGCGATCAGTGGCGCGAAGGTGTCTCCGCAAGACCAGGGCGAGCTAACTGGCATACTAAAGGAGTTGGGCTACACCAAGGACCAAGTGTTTAAATTTTAGAATGTTGGTGTTGGCCGTAAAGCCACTGTATCCTATGCCCATAGACAAAATTCATTCCCGAAGAGGAAGAGAGAGGGGAAGACAAGCAAAGAATAAATGGGAGTATGTGCCCAGAAAGAAGAAAAATACAACAATGTACAAACAGTAACTTGACGGCAACTTTGTACATATCAAGAATCCGCAGACAAGTCTTTGCCCAATCACGAGAAAAGTCCATGCTGTAAAAAAAGGTCCTGAGATGCTTGTCAACGTGTATGGCGTAGTCTAGTGTAGGAGGTACATGTACTCGCATTGGGGGTTCTGAGACTTCGGGGACTTTTGGATCTCGGATTGGCACATGTCTATCTATCTTCCTACACAGTGCCTGGTACATAGGAATCTACAGTAGTCGGCTAGAATCGTGGGCCTGGACCGAGTAGGGGTGAGGGGGTGTGTGGTGTGGTGTCCAAGGCACCTTGCCAGGCTATGCGCGACGCGTCCGGGGAGCGGTCGCGGGGGTCCAAGGGGCTCAGTCACTCCTAGAATTGGGCGAGTCGAGCCTGTGGTGTCCACAGGTATCTATTTATCGAATACAGTAGCGAGACTTTGGCAGAGGAGGGATACATATGTATAAAGTCGATGGTTATTTCACGACTCTGGATCTTTCATGTGTCAAACTGGTACTGTTTCAGCGGTTGAGCATGGACTGACTGACTTCCTTTCCCTCCTCCACACACAGCTCAACAGCTAACAGCAAGCAGCTCATTCCGAGTCGAGTGCAGTCTCCTAGTCGAGGTAGGTAATTACCAGCGTAGATAGGATTAGTCTTCGAGCACCTACAGTATAAAGGAAGCAAAAGCAGTTCGAGAATTCAAATCGACTCCCGAAGGAAGCGGTCAACGGTCCCTTGTCTCGTCGAATTACCTATCAACCTACGTAGGGATTGTACCATCAATTCTATTGTATCGTCTTTCTCTTGAGATCAATCAATCGAGCGTGGATGACACCGCCTCGAACTGCGTCAGGTTGAATGGTCGCATGCATGCATCAAGAATACGGGGTTCAGATTGATGGACACAAGTAGGTTTGAGTAAGACTGAAATTTCAGCCTTGCGCGGGGTCTAGTCTGGACTAGCATGACTTAGCTACAAAGAAATTGTAGCCTTGCATGACACAATCGTCGTTTGATGGCCTCGAATCCGCCAATGATGCCGACAGCGCAGCGGAGTTTGGGCAAATAACCCTGGCCACTGCTATTACCACCACAACAATTGTGGTCTTACCCTATCGTGCCTGGGTGCCTATATCAGAGGGTGATTCTGTGATATAGAACAATCACATCAGTGTCAGTGAGGAATACTCTCCAATGATCGAAGAATAAATCTGCACGGATCTCCTCAAGTTAGTCGATATGTAGGTGAGATTTCGGTATTGGTATTACAAGTCGACATTGTTGACATTTGGTGGTTATGCACAAGAGATGGTGGATGAGATAGTGAATGTTGTAGAGTTGAAGCTCCTGAAGTGCTTTAAGGTAGACTTGAGCGTAGCACCTAGGACTGAGGGTGGTTGGAACCGGGGGGCAAGAAGCTGTACCGAGTATGAGTATCCCGTTCAAACAGGCCTCAAGGGTTTATTTGGAATGACCTCCAGAGTAAAAGAACCGTTTGGCGTCAGGGCTGCAATGCAGGAGAAAGTCGTCCCAAGACGGCCACGCCCAAAGTGGGAGAGAGCTCTGGGGAGCTCTTTCGGTGCCCCAAGAAGCGTGCGTGTGTGAACAAGCGCCGCAGCGCCTCGAAACTAGATAAAGTCTCAGGGTGGGCTTTAGAGGAGAGGGCTTCGAAGTGGGCGTGCTCGCTGTCGGTGTCAGCACGAGCACAGTGGACACAAGGGGCATGCCTACGATGACCTTTGTCGATGCCCAGAGCAGGAGCTCCTCAATAGGTGGGTAGCAGTGAAGTGAAACGGGCCTCTGAAGGAGCAGTAAAAGAAAGGCCCTGGTCAACTTACGAGCAAGGTCGAATCGAGATCGGAGAGTACCACTTCCGGGGACTTTGGGCAGGCTCAAAGTAGAAGGACCGGAGCGCCTGTAGAAGCAGCAGAGGAGCTACGAAACAACAGGCGTGACAGGGGCTTCTCTCGTACAAAGCCCCCAAGCAGTAGTAGTGGACATTGAAGGACATTGATCCGGCTTGGGCGGGTCGTTGAGCCGAGTTGTTGTGCCTGAGACGCCCAAAAGGGACAGCCAACACTGACGCTGTCAGGCGCTGATTTGTCGGGACGGACGGGGACTCTTGGGGGTTTGAGGCAACAATCTTGGTGACTGACTGTCACTATTGCTCCCCGCCACCTGAAATTACCTGGCTAAGAGTCTCAACTAGGCTGTAGGTCGGGCACTTTCAGGTTGAACCAAGCCCGTCAGACAGGCTCTCAATTTCAACATTAGGTGACCGCCCAGAAGCGCTTATGCAGCTTGATGGGGCGCTGATGATCGAAATTTGCGAGTTCAGGGCCACCAGAGTCATGCAGGGTGGTAGGGTGGTCTGACTAGCAGCTACTGTGCTGCCCTCTTCCACACTTCCCGGAGCTTCCCAGCTTGTCCTCTCTTTCCAGCTGCATTTCCAGAGCTGCTGATGCCGACCTTCAAGCTTGCTCGGTGTTGCCTCCTAGAGCTCCCGTTGTCTGCCGCTGACGCCCGTCACTGTCCTAACAGCAGTGCTGATCTTCCCATCCACTGTGGTTTTCTCCGCTCAAGCCGCGCAGTCTCTTTCTAGGCAACAGGAGTGTATGAGCTCTGGGCACCTCTGTCCACGCAGAGTTTCCCCTCCAAAAAGGCCGTGGGCGACGCGACAAGCATAAGCACAACGATTTATTTGTATCTGTCAGGCCGGCACCGAAATTCGCGGATTGGAGGCATGGCGATGCGCCTGCAGCTTGAGAACTTGGGGAATGGGAACCGCTTTGGAGAGTCTGCCCGTATCAGCGAGTCGTTTCGGAGGAGAATCGTCTTCACCTGCATACCCAGCATCACCCACAGACAGCAATGCCTCCGTTCGGCAGTGAAGGAGGACAACTTCAGCGGGTGAGCCTAAGCTAGGCTGTTTTAGCCTGCAGCAGAAGCAGGGTTGGGGGGTAAACAAGCCCATGTGTTGCAGCAAGGAAAGGTGACTCCTGCCCTGGGGGGCGAATAGTACTGAAGCCTACAAGCTTAGAGCCGGGAGAGTGCAGCAGCCTCAGCGAGGCAGGTCGTGTTAGGAGCCAATTAGACCTGAGGAAGGCACCCTTAGCGGCGCGACAGTGGAGCTTGCAGGACACCGAAACAAGCACCTACAGAGAGCATCCCGGCATCCTTAGAGGCCGAGCAGAGGGGAGGGGGCCACGGGGGGGGTGTTTAAAAAAAAAAAGAGGGGAGCTGCCAGGTGGCCGTGATCAATCCTCCCGCAGCTGCTTGGTTTTTTTTTCACTCTCGCTGGGTTGATCCAGCGGTTGCCCATGCACCTCGCTCGCCCACTTAAACAGGCCGCCCCCCCGCTGCCCTCGCCTCGCCCCCGTTTCCTTTCCTTTCTGCATCTTCCACCCTCTCGCTTTCCACCCAGACAAGCCCTTGCTTTCTGGCTTCACTTCCGCCGCCCATCCTTTAGTTAAAGCTCAGCCTTGCCACCTCCCATCACTGTCGCTTATAGGCGCCTATATTGTCAACTGTCCATACCCTTAGCATAACTCCAAGTTGATCTGTCTACAAAGACGCCATGGCAAAGAAGACACACGACCCTGAGTCTGCAACGACGCAGGTCAACATTGCTGATTTCCAGCGAACTCGAGATTCGGTGAGTGAACCAGATTTTTTGTGTATATTATTCTTGCTGTTCATCTGCCTCACCACACAACACGCGTCCAACCGAGCCGCGACAAACCCTCAACCCCGCGACGAGGCTCTACCCCAGCTCGCACTGAACCACAACATTGACCTCACCGTCACTCCCCTTGTGCATGTCACCTCACTGTCTCGCATACACTTTCAACTTATGTAGCACACCTCCCCTCCTTTGATCCTATGATTCATTGCCTTTCCCCATGTCTTCGTCCACGCTTCATATCACCCCCAGCGTCGCCCGCATTGAGTTCGGGCACCTATTGAACCGTGCCGCCATCAAATGCGTCGACGTCCTCACTGAAGATTTGGCGGCTCTCGGCGAGCTTGTCCGCCAAGTTCAAAATGAATCAGTGGCATTTGCTCACACATCCTCTCAGGTCATTGTTGCTCTTGCAACACTTCAATCCTCTGTCCAAGACCTCTCGCGCGCATACATCCAACATGCCAACACCGTCCTCACACCTGGCAAACATGGCCTTAACCCCATTGACGCCAACCTAACCAGTATCCTTACCGAGTCTGGTCTCTTGAGCGCTAGGCCCGCCGATGCTGCCCCAGCTGCTGCACCGGAACCAGATGTCGATGGGAAGAAGAAGCGCAAGAGGACACCGCATGATCCTAACGCACCGAAGCGTGCTCTCACGCCGTATTTCCTCTACATGCAAAGTGCTCGTGCCACTATTGCCAAGGAATTGGGCGACTCAGCGAAACCGAAAGAGGTTGCAGATGAGGGAACTCGCCGATGGACTGAGATGAGCCCTGCTGAGAAGAGCGTACGTCCCTTGCTCGCATTCGTTTGTTGCTCGCACAGACTAACCCCCACACAGATTTGGGACGACAAGTACCAGAAGAACCTGGCCGCGTACCGCGTCAAGATGGCAGCGTACAAAGCCGGTCAGCCTGTTCCTGACGACGAGACTGCAGCGCGCCTGGTGGAAATGGGTAAAGCTCCCGAGCACGTCGCCGGCCTGGATGCTGAGGCAGAGACGGAAGAAGAGCCAGTTGAGGAAGAAGAAGAAGAGGAAGAGGCCCCGGCCCCGGAACCCACACCTCCCAAATCAAAGAGACGCAAGACCAAAGATGTCGAGCCCACTCCCAGCAAAGCAACTCCCAAGGCCGAAGCCAAATCTCCAGAGAAGGACAGGAAGTCTAAGAAGAGCAGGAGGGAAGCTGCCACTGCTGCTCCAACCAAAGTCGAGAAGTCCAAAAAGTCTAAGAAATGAATGCACTCCAACGACTCTGGTGGGGAATGACGGTTGTGTATGTGGGCGCGTGGACATGATCATTCGTTACCGGTTTCGATTTTCGGTCTGGGGAATTTTGGAATTCAAGAACTCGACTCTCGCTGCCATGAGGTTGTATGAGGTTGTTTCTCCTGTGGAAGGAATGTGTTAGGAATGTGTTCATAATGAAAGGCGGTCACTGTTCGGCGCAGTGCAGAAATGGTGATGAGCGCCATGCAAAGGGCCGAGTAACTAGTCTGTTCAACGAGGTCAATGTTGAAATGTTTTTGTTTGTTCTGTCTCTACCAAGTCCTTTTCTCAACTACCACAACTACTAATGACGCACCAGCACCAAAACAAAGTTCCTGTCTTGATCTCTTCTCCGCATCTAGACCCCACGCACTGGTGGTTACAAAGCTTGCCACCATCGAGACTGGCCACTCCGGTAGACTCCTTCAAAAGAACCACTCGAAAGCCTCCTAGGGCATGAACTGGGGTGGTTCCATTGCTTATCCAGACCTGTCCTCATACCACTCCGAAGCTTCCTTTGCCCCGCAATGGCCCCTCGACCATGATAGGTCAGACTGGCATAGATAAGGCACCGCATCCTAGATGGATTGAAGGATGAAAATCTTCAAAAGCTGCAAGTTCCAGGCTTGCGAGTGCCTTTTCTGCGGGCAGTTTTCAATATGCAGCTCGTTGCGAAAGAGGTACGTATGTTCCGAGGGCCAGTTTTTCCTCACCTAGAAGACCTTTGTTGACTGACTTCTTCGACACCTGGAAACAGCTAGATAAGCTCGTGATATCCCAGCTTGGCTTCCTGGCCCAACGGAGACTCGCCAGAGGCGTCAGGCTGAATCATTCAGAGGCTTGCGTGGGTGGTTCTCCTCTGAAACACACGGGCCTTTGGAATTCTGGGAAAGCTGATCTCTTCCTCTAGGCTTTGATCGCCAGCAACTTGCAAGAGGTATTTCTCCCAACAAAGCTGGTGTCAACCGCGAACATATTTGTCCTAATGAGAGGGGTTGTTTCTTAGCTCATTCGCGATGGAAACCACACGGTCGCCGACCTAATGTCCATTGGGAAGACCATGCTCGGTCGACGACATGTGCTTCCCTCTGTTCTGTCCACCTTGACAGAACTGCAGGTCGAGGGGACCTTCAAGACCGGCACGTACCTGGTCACGGTCCACCATCCAATCAGTTCCGACGATGGAGACCTTGAAAAGGCGCTGTATGGAAGCTTCCTCCCTGTGCCGTCCAAGGACGCATTTCCCTTGCTAGACGAGAGTGAGTACGACAATACGAAAATGCCGGGTGCAGTCGTTCCGGTGAAAGAAGGCAAAATTACGTTGAACGAGGGTCGGAAGAGGATTCAGCTCAAGGTCGTGAGCAAGGGGGACAGGCCAATACAGGTAGGTATCGACAACCTCTGGGGTTTCGGCAAGGTGATCGATCTCCAAGGCCGACTGATATGTGTTGCTCTTACAGATTGGGTCCCATTACCACTTCATCGAAACGAATCCGCAACTCGAGTTTGATAGAAGTAGAGCATATGGCTTCCGTCTAGACATCCCCGCAGGTACATCGGTCCGTTTTGAGCCCGGAGACACAAAGACAGTCACTCTGGTCGAGATTGCAGGCAACAAGGTGATACACGGTGGAAACAACCTCGCTTCGGGCCCTGTCGATGTATCTCGCGCCGACGAAATCGTGCAGAAACTACAGCAAGCTGGGTTCGCCCACGCGCCTGAACCGGCCGGTGACCTGGCGCATATCGACGTCGCATCCATGACCCGCGCGGCCTATGCCGGCATGTTCGGTCCCACGACTGGTGATCGCGTCCGGCTGGGAATGACCGACCTATGGATCAAGGTCGAAAAGGACTTGACGGTCTACGGCGAGGAGTGCAAGTTTGGTGGCGGCAAAACTCTTCGAGAAGGCATGGGACAAGCATCAGACCGGAAGGATGCCGATATCCTTGACACGGTCGTCACCAATGCGCTGATTGTCGACTGGTCCGGCATCTACAAGGCCGACGTGGGTATCAAGGACGGCATCATCGTGGGCATTGGTAAAGCGGGCAATCCGGACGTCATGGACGGTGTCCATCCCAACATGATCGTCGGCAACGGCACCGACGTCATTGCAGGAGAGCATAGCATCCTTACCGCGGGAGGTATCGACTCGCACATTCACCTGATCTGTCCTCAACAAGCTTACGAATCTGTCGCGGCCGGCATCACCACTTATCTCGGAGGTGGCACGGGTCCTAGTACAGGGACCAACGCGACAACATGCACGCCTGGGAAATGGCACATGAAACAGATGCTCCAAGCGATCGACTCGATCCCCATCAACTACGGCATCACGGGTAAAGGAAATGACAGCTCGCCGGTCGCTCTTCGCGAGCAATGCGAGGCTGGGGCGTGCGGCCTCAAATTACACGAAGACTGGGGCACGACGCCCGCGGCGATCGACACGTGCCTGTCTGTGTGCGACGAATACGACGTCCAATGCCTCATCCACACCGACACGCTCAACGAGTCTGGCTTTGTGGAGTCCTCGGTCGCCGCCTTCAAGGGCCGCACCATCCACACCTACCACACCGAGGGTGCCGGCGGCGGGCACGCGCCCGACATCATCTCTGTGGTCGAACACGCCAATGTGCTCCCCTCATCGACGAACCCCACGAGACCGTTTACGAGGAACACGCTGGACGAGCACCTCGACATGCTGATGGTGTGTCACCACCTCTCCAAGAACATCCCGGAGGACATTGCGTTCGCCGAGTCGCGGATCCGCGCCGAGACCATCGCGGCCGAAGACGTGCTCCACGACCTCGGCGCCATCTCCATGATGTCCTCGGACTCGCAGGCCATGGGGCGCTGCGGCGAAGTCATCCTCCGCACGTGGAACACGGCGCACAAGAACAAACAGCAGCGCGGAACTCTAAAAGAAGATGAAGGCACCGACGCCGACAACTTCCGCGTCAAGCGGTACCTGAGCAAGTATACGATCAACCCGGCTATTGCGCAGGGGATGAGTCACTTGGTGGGCAGCGTCGAGGTGGGCAAGGTGGCCGACCTAGTGTTGTGGAAGCCGAGCATGTTTGGGACGAAGCCGAGCTTGGTGGTCAAGGGCGGGATGATCAGCTATGCGCAAATGGTAACATTTCACCCTCTCCTTGCACCTATTCCTTCTTGTTATGTCATATGCCCTCCACACTCATCCCCAGACCCCCCCTTTGCCCTTTCGTCCCCTCAGCCTTGTCCCTCCCTCTCCTCCACACTCTATAAGAAAGAGGTACTAACCCTGACAACACGTATAGGGCGACCCCAACGCCTCCATCCCGACGGTGCAGCCCGTGCTCATGCGGCCCATGTTCGCGGCGCACGTCCCCTCGCGGAGCATCACGTTCGTGTCGCAGCACTCCGTGACGTCCGGTGTCGTGGCGTCGTACAACCTCTCCAAGCGCGTCGAGGCGGTCAAGAACTGCCGCGCCGTGGGGAAGAAGGACATGAAGTTCAACGACGCCATGCCTCGCATGAAGGTCGACCCGGAATCCTACAAGGTCGAGGCCGACGGGGTCCATTGCACGGCCGCGCCGGCTGAGGTGGTGCCTCTGGGTCAGACGTACTTTGTTTATTGATCCCCGTCTCTTTTGCAGCGATGTGAATAAAGTGTGTGGGAGCGGAGCAGGGACGCGAAAATATGAAAACGGACAGAGAGATATAGGGTGGGGGGAGAAAGAGAATAAAGGACACCAGACATGACATGGGCAGAGGATATGAAAACAGCGCGCCCTCTGAAAAATGACCAAATGGAATGAATCAATGAATGCCGAAGTCTTTGAATGGATATTCTTCCATCCCACGAACGAGCAATGGAGCCATGCAGGGCACTCTTTCGTATCGTTTCCTCCATCCCTCCATCCCCCATATCGACATGAAATAACGGCGCATTACGATCGAGACTCCCAGCGTGAATGACTTGATTACGGCATAGCATACGAAACTGATCGCTAACGAAAGCGACGCCCTCCCTCCTAGGTATTTATTCACTTTCTGAAATCCAGGACCAGGACACGAGATCAATAAGTTCCGGTTTGTGTGCGTGTGTTTGTCTTTGGAAATGAAACTGCATTTTTCAGGAGAGGTTTCGAACCAAGTCATATATATTTGGGAGAAGAAAAGCTTTAGTAACCATGTCGAGCTGCGAAGCTACTAACCATCCTGTACCATCCTGTAATCATCACCAAGACTGGACATGTTCCAAGGAAAGATCCCCCACAACAGCAACAGTCCGTAAACTGCAATGCCACCCTTTGCGCTCATTTGCTGGCGTGCATCCGCCGCCCTCGCAGGCGTAAACCAAGCTGAAAAGAGACGTGTGTCTGCTCTTGCACTCGCCAAACAATATCAAACCGAAAATGCCGCGCCCCCAGCAGGCTCTAGACTTCGCGTGCCATCCCGTGCTTCCATGTCATTATTCGTGTGCATCTTTCCATCGTGTACCCAGCATGCATTCGTACTCGTCATATCGTGGGACTTGTCGCTCTTCATATGCGGGGGATTGGTGGTCCGCTCAAGAGCTCAAGCCATTGCAGTAAAGTTCCCACGGGCATTTTGACTCCGCTGTCGCTCAATTGGACTCATCGGGTCGGTGGTAGGGTATTTCCTCCCTTGCACACCGGTTACGGTCGCGATTCTTGGAACTGGCTGAGCCGGTCGCCTCTGCCCATTGCTCCGCTCCCAATCCGAGGAGCGGTGCCTGTGGTCGCTTCCACTGCTACTTTCTCGTGTCAGAGGTTCGAAATTCGTCTGGTCCGGGTAACGTATTGATGGCGCTCGTGGGTCGAACTGTGCTTGCGCGTTCTCTGGAATAGGTGTTGCGGGAGTGGAGCTGGGGGTGTCGTTATCCCACACTGTCTCCCGCCACTGTGGTGGGCGACCTCCCCCATAGGGTTGTTGAGGTGGTTGAGGCGGGGACTTGATTGCACGAGGTGGGTAGTACTCGGGTCGCAAAGGCTGTGAAGGTTTGAATGCAGGGCCCGGTGCACGGTAACCTGCATCCGAAGAATGACGCCGTTTGTGCGACGACCTCATAAAGGAGGGTACCCATAAAGAAGAGCGACGGCTCTTTCGATCTTCGTCGGATCTACGATGATGCCGGCCGGCCTGTGAAGCCTCCGAACTCCCCTCGCTGCCGGTATCTTCGTCGACAGTCGAGGGACTGCGTGCGGGCGAACGGTACGGTGCGGTATTGTATCCGGACGAGGGTCGTCGTCCAGGTTGCTCTGGTGGCGCAGTCGCCTGTCTCCGATTCGACGGGCTGTTCGACGAGGTTTTGTGGTGACCGGGAGGAGCTGTTGTTGTATGCGACCGCTGGCGCGGTGAAGGTTTTGGAGAGGGTCTTTGAGCCGAATGGCTGCGAGTCTTCCGTGCCTCATACTGATTTCGAGGATCCCACGGCGATCCTCTTTCTCCCGACGGGGAAGGGAAATCTGGAACACTACTCCGTCGGCGATGGATATCCGTCATATGATCTTGATCGTCGCGAGAGCTGCTCCGCGACGGCCTCGTGGGTCGCCCTGGTTGCGTGCCAGAGAAATAGCCTTCTCGTCGGTCATAGGCTTCGAGATGTGGGGACTGGTAAGGAGAGTTCTTTATGCGCCGCATGTTGTAGTTCTGCTGGTTCAGTTTGCCAGTCACCAGTTTGTGCCATCTCTCCATCTCCTCATCCGGCCGAGTTGGGAAAACGTCCTTGGGAATGTATTTTGGATAGGTTCCACCATTGTGCATCGGGACATTCCATAGCTGAACCGCTTTTTGAATAAACGACACATTTTCCTCCGGGCAGAGCAGCAACTGGATCGTTTGCCAGCGAGCAAATCCAGCCGGCGTCAGGCACGGAATTCGGGGTGTCTCGAAGGGACTCGGGGTTGGCTGCAGCGAGTGAAAGCAGCCGAGAGTTTGGTACATGAAGGAGAGGGCGTGGTCAGAGGATTTGAGGAAGAGCGAGTCATAGTTGCCGCCTACAGTTCTGTAGAATGTCGCTAGACGGGATGGAGTGAGTTCATTGTCAGGTCCGGGCTCTAGAGTCGCCTGTTTCTCCAGTCAGCGAGTTGACCTTGAGGAGCAATGCGGTAGACTCACTATGACTTTGGCAATGCCCCAACACAGCTGCTCGAACTGAAGGGTTGCACTTTTATCGGGATTGATCAGATATCTCCAAAAGCCAGGAGCAGAACCCGCGGATTGGTTGGGCTCCATTATTGTGAAGTGTAGTCGATACTGCGGACAACCGCAGACAGGATCCTTTTCTTTGAGTTGCCCGTTGATGTCGCTCTCATGGTCAGGCCACCCTCTCACACAACTTCTGAGATCGGTTTGCAGGGAGGAAGGGACGTAGCGGGAGCGAGGAGGACGAGGTTATCTGGGATAGCGGAGGTTGGGTGGAGGAGTGAGGACTGGTCGCAATGGATCAAGTGGCAGATGTCGAGTCACTCTGGCTCACGAAGGAGAGAACTGGTGCCTCGCGCGCGGCAGCCAAAGTCAATTATCAGGTTGAATAGAGGCCAAAGAGATGGTCAGGATGTGGATGTGATTCAATACAGAGGATTGTGGGAGAATTCATGCAAGCTCCCGGTGTGTTCACCGCTTGACTGTGCCACAATTGTCACCCCCGCGATATTGTCGCAGTCTTGAAAGCTTCCCGCTTCCTTGGTATGACTAGTCGACAAGCGGATTGTTCCAACAACCCGTCGAGCCGTCAAGCTTCCTATCCGCCATCTAGAGCCACAGCAGCCCACAAAGAGCCCGCAGAGCCCGCAGAGGGAGAATCCTCCCCCCCCATCATCGTGCAGGTGGCAGATCCAGGTCTTCGCCCCCGACGGTCCATCTGACTGGTGGAGTTTGTCGTTTGTCTTTATTTCTTGAGGTTCGGCCCTTCGCATTGGACCAAATTCTCGTCATTCTGCCTGGCTCACAGGTATCCCTCCAATTGGTGCCTGATTCTATTCCCTTTGCAGTCTTGCGGGTGCTTGGGTGTGAGGCTTAGGCCGAGCGTCTCCAGATCTACTGACGTCCTATGACCCTGTAACACTTGACTCGCCATTGATGCGGCCTTATGGCGTGCGCACTCTTACAAACACCGGGGCCTGGTAGGCTTTGATGCCCAAGGGACGCAGGCTCCCGTTTCCTTGGTTTGCGAACAATGACACATGCTTGAGCCACTTGTCTGGCTGATCCAATCACCGGAACGGGTGTCGATTTAACACCTGCGGATTTGTGTGGGTTGCTTTTCTCGCCGATTTAAGGCCGCCAGGCTTGTCGATTACATGCCTGTTCTTGCCAACTCTCTTGACGACAAGACTTTTATGATGAGCGAAAGCAGCATCTGAGATTACGCACCTCTCAGCCAGATACATTGCTGCTGAAGCCGCACGACGCTAATGCTGGTCATCTATGTCAGTGGCACAACTAAGGGTTGGCAGATTCGAGGAGAAAATAGGACATCCACCTCCTATCATGGGACACCTGCTCCCACAAAACACTGAAACGTTTTAATGTGACAAGGACGGAGTTGGTGATATTCCCCGAATTCTAACCTTGGGGTGCATGGCCCGCGTGCATGTCTCTGGTGTGTCTGGTAATACCTGCTCCTGTTCGACCTGGACCTTCATGCTATGCCTACGATAATCACTGAACCCCCGGAACAAATATCATCTGCTATCGACTGACATACGGAGGTCTCGTGCCCCAAGATTCACGATCTTGTCAGCGCCAGTTCTTCGGAGGGCATACAGTCTCAGCAGGGACCGGTCGCTCGAGCGAAGGCAGGATGGTATATAGCTCTCACTGCTGTCTACTTTGATGAGAGGGCTCACCTACGGACCATAGTGTACCTCGATTTCGCCTTAGAGGCGGCAGGTAAGCCGAGGCGTAGGCAGTTAGTACTTCAGTTTGGCCAATCAACAAGGGCAAGTAGCACACGCTAGCATCTACCATTGTATCAAGGTGCGAGGCGGTTGAGACATCAAACATCTCACTCCTCACATTGCCCCTCCCAACTCAGAGCACTCAACCATCTACAACATGACTACCCTCCTCAGCCTCCCCGTCGAAGTTCGAGAAAATATCTACCGCTTCAGTCTTCCAAGACAGCAACTCAAACTGCAGGCTTTCTGCGACCCGGAATGGTCCGACGCTGAGAAACCGGCGGGCATCCCAGCCCTGTTCTTCGTCAACAAAACCATCTCGGCCGAAGCTGCGCCAATCTTTTATTCTCGCGCCGTGCTCAACATCACACCCCCGAGTCTATCTTCCTTCCTGGCCAGTTGTGTGGCTGGCACTGGTCCAAATATCAACCTAGCTCTGGCCTTGGACCTCGAGTTTTCCTCATGCCCGCGGCGGCATCTGCAGCGCATCACTGAATCACACGTCTACGGCCGTCAACGTCAGGTGCTCTCGGCCGAAGCATATGAGGCACTCCTCCGCTGGCTTGTCGACAACACGGCGGTGCAGACAATTCACTTGTCTTGGCGCCTCATGACGAGGTTACGAGGTGCACGGGTAGACCTCAAGGCCGCCTTCAATCTCTACACTGCTGCCGCGAGTCTCTCTCTGGTACGGAAGGTTTACGTGTACAGTACTCACCCTCGATCATCCTGGGAATCGACGCGCTATCTCGAACTGAAGAAAGCCTTGAACGGACTGGATCTGCCTGAAGTCCAAGTTTACGTCCTCGGAGAAGGTGGTCAGCATGATGCACTTTTGGATCCTCGATGGGATGCACGAAAGAGCGACGACGCCGAAAGACGAGATATGGTCCATCAGATTTCGTCTTGGTTTGATTCACTCCGAAGCACGCTTCCTCCCTCCAAAGAAAGAAGCATTGCGACGAATGAGCCGCGGTTATACCAAGTGTTCTGCATCTTTCGACACGTGGCGAACACACCCTCGGGTGCTACAGATCTATTGCCCGTTTAAATGGAGTGAAGAAACCTCACTATGTGGTTGCGACCTTGACCCTTGACCATTACCTCGGTATGCAATGCTCCAGCCACAGTTAATCGATCCACTTCCAGTTTTCCTTCTCTACAGATCTGCTCCAAGGTGGCTGCTTGTCCTGGTGGCACAATCTCGTCGTTGCCCGCCTCCAAAATCAAAACCTTCAGATCTGGTCTGGCCCTCCCGATCTGATGGAGAGCAGTCTTGCTATCCCACGTCGACCGCAAGAATGGGGACAGATATCGGTAAGGAAGAAATTTCTGTGGATAGAGAGCGATGAGGATTTCTCTCAAATCCACGAAAGGCGTTTCGAGGAGAAGTCCAGAGAATCCACGAAGGCTTGAGTTATCGTGTCTCAGCAGATTCGCCAGGCTCACAGTTGCGACACCAGCACCAATAGACTGCCCCCATACCACGAACCTGGTGCCTTCGCAACGATACCGACTTCGTATCCATTCCAAGGCCGCTTCGGCATCCAGCTCAATCCCACTTTGGGATGGGCTCCCCTTTGATTTCCAGAAACCGCGATAAGACAAAGCCACCATGGTGTACTTTTTACTAGATTGATTCTGTGACAAGCTTTTCAAGACGTTTGAAAGGTAGGGAAGTCGAGGCGGCAACGACGATGCGTTTCTGATCGATTTCAGTGGTGCGGAAGCGCGGTGAATGTACCACTGCAACTTACCCTTGCAAATACAGCACAACAACATGGTTCTTCACCTCAGACTCAGCAGAAGCTTTAACCGATCCCTCTAAAACCTTGATCGCCGTCCCATCCGCGGCCTTGAGGTCATTTTCTACCCATACCACAGGCTTGCATTGCGATGCATAATCGCTAACTTTCTCCGATCGGGAGAATGGCGGGACCGAAGGCATATAGATGATCTTGTTCTGGAAAACAACCATCATGAAGCACTTATACGTCCATAGTGTCACCAACAGTCCTCCAAAGACGACAGGCGGCAGGAGGAAAGCTGGGACTGACTCCACGCCAAACTGACGACGAGGGACTAATGGTGAGAGTGGATGGGGGAGTGGGAGTCGCGGCCGCGGTCGCTTGAGCCGAGAACCCGCATGTCGAATTGGAAGAGTCTTGACAGGGGAGAACGAACGCCACCATACTTGAGCACATCTCATTGATACGAGTGCTCTGGCATTCAGTATTGACACCGAAAACGAATGTTGACGTTTGTGGAAGCTCGACAAGCGCCAAGACACTAAACCGAAAACGGAACTACTCTAGACAGAATATTCAGCCTTGCGCGGAGGTCATATCGAGAGATCTGTACTTGGTATAGAAGATCATGAACGCAAGGACGTCCCTTTGGGTCCTTGGACTCAATGACTTCGGCGAGAATATCACGAACAGCACCACTGGCACAGACGACAACTCTCCCAAGTTTTCATCTTCGACGGCAGACTATTCGTGCGTCACCTTTCTTCAGTCTCTGGTCTTGCTCGCCCGCGCCTCCTGGTTTACCTAGATCCCCTAGCTGGGTATACATCAAATCTGAGATATACATTTCATCTCATCTTCGCCTTATCTTTTCCTCTTCACCTCTCGTGCCCCTCAAATGTCAACGGTATCTCTGTCTCTCATTCACTATCCCTTCTTCACTATATTTATCATGTGCTTGAAACCATTTTCCACAAAGCGCAAGACTTCACTCGTCACTTAAGCGACACTTTTCAACTCGATTCATTTTGTCACGCAATCTATCCCCCCTCAAGCCCCACCTTCTTCTCTCTCTCCTTTAGTGCCCAGCTTGTTATGTTCCTCTTCTACTCTTGCATCTGGAACGAACTAACCATATAGAGTCCTATGCGCCGTCATCGAACCCGGTTCACTAATGCCTGCTTTGACCAAAATCCATTCACTTCATCTCACACTATAAGTTGCATTTTGCAACCTATTGACCAATATATTATCTGCTTCTTGCTGCTCACCCGCGCTCCCAATTAGGTCAACTCGGAAATATCTGGTCTGTTTCACCTAATAACTCTCGAATATGGATTTTCGACCGCGGCGTCCTAACCGTTATGATCGCGGCGATGATCGAATGACGGAGATGCCTGGCGTTGGCCTAGTTCCTAATAGACCGCGCTCACAGAGCCGTTTCGTCAATCAAAGAGATCCTGAAGAGCGTCCTCGACGACATGACCCCACCTATGAGGGAAGCCAGCCCGCATTGGCGCAGCGAGGAAGAAGGTACCAGCCGTCCCAACAGGAGAGCTCGGGCAATCCCCGGGCGAAAGAGGGG